AGACGGACCTTTTCCTGTTAAGTATCAGCCAAAACAGTGTCTTCTAATGTAAACAAGATTCTACAGTTGCTCCTGTTGATTTCCCTAATGAGTTCTTTTTTTATGATGTCCTGTATATGGGTATAAAGGACATGCAAAACATAACATAACGGAAAAGGTATTTTGCCAAAAATGGTATTGATAAGGATTTGATGAAGAGCAGTGAATTAATCCTCATGTCATAGCTGGTGGGAAGTAGACAGAGAGGTAGAAGAAAATTTAGATGAAAGGATGGCATAGATGAAGATTCTAGAAAAATAGATGCATTAAACTAGTAACCGTTAGAAATTGGTAATGCTGACTGGCGAAGTAGACTTGGGAAGGTTTAGACTTCTGGTATAGGGCTGTATAGACTGTAGCGGAGCCTGCGTGGCTTCTGAAACACATGAATACACTGCTAGAAGTACAAACCTTTCCTGAGCCTTGGAGGACATCGACGTTAGTACTGCTCCCCCAGGCTAGGGAAAAGTATCGGACCACCTGTCTTCTTCCATACATCGGTAAGCTGTATGAAAGGATTCTGCGAGTAAGCATAGATGACATGATTAAAAGGTCAGGTAGTTTATCTTGGAGGCAATTTGGTTTTTGTAAAGGGAAAAGCACGATTGATGCAATCGTAAGTGTACTCGAAGCATTTCGCAACAGAGGGGATGAACATCGCTGGGCGGCTCTACTGTTGTTCGATGTTAGGAATGCATTAAATCGCTGTAGTGCAACCAGATAATGAAGGCAATGGAGGAGAGGGAATATCCTGGCTACCTGATGAATGTGGTTGTGGAGTATCTGTCGGAGAGAAGGATTATGGTGGAAAAGGGCACGATCGTGAACGTGACGGCAGGGGTTCCCCAGGGATCTGCCTTGGGCCTGACGCTATGAAACCTGGTGTATGGCGGGGTTATGAACTGTGAATACGGAGAGAACCCCCTTCGCATTCACAGATGGCCTCGCTGTAGTTTTGCCGGCCCGGGATGAGCCAGATTTCAAATACCGGGTTCGGAACGCAGGCCGCGTCGTAAAGAAATGGATGACGCAGCTCGGACTGAAACTTGCGTTAGAGAAAACCGAATCGATCATTCTGAAGGGGAAAATAAACGGACAAAGTGTTGAATTACAATGTGCGGGAGCATGTTTAACATCCAAGAAACATGTAATGTACCTAGGAAAGACATTGCACCGGAATGAAAAGTGGTGAGAGCACGTTCGACTGGTGCCCAAATCCGAAGGGAGGAGGGTCTTACACGGTATTGTACAGTTGATCGTCCTCCACGCAGCACCAATCTGGAACAGGGTGGTAGAGATAACAGCCTATAGGAGGCTCATAACACGAATGGACAGAACAAGTCTGTTGTGAGTCGCCCTAACCTACAGCACTGTGTGATCGTCAGAATTGTGGACCATCACTGGATGTGTTCGGTTGCATGTTTTGGCGGTGGAAAGAAAAGAGCTGAGAGAATTATTGAAAATAAAGCAGGTTGGACTAGCGTACACAACTATATCCGTACTGTGATCAAGAAAAAGGAAGAGGAAGAAAGACAGCTGGACCAAGGCAAAGACAAAAGGGAGATATGCTGGAAGTTAAAGTTAGAAAAGTGAGTTAGACTGTATGAGTTAGACTGCGTGAGCCAGACTGTGGGGAAGGAGGAAATTGAAAAAGACTAATGTCGCTCTCGGATTTATTTCCGTATATCCGAGCTTCCTCCTTCATTTTACTTCAAAAATGTAAGTCAAAAACAGCTGTTGTCGTTGCTGTATGTGGTAACCATGTTTTATAAAAAAGTTTTTGATGTGAATTATACATATGTATAAGGGTTAGACCCAAGATCTGTGGCCTAGAGAGCCCGATCTTTGTTTTTTAATATGTCGTTTGTCCACAATTTTCCTTCTATGAAGTATTTATTGCCTAATTGACGTAAGTTTTTTCTGTCATTGTATTTTATATAAAAAAAATTTACTTAACGTTATTTTAGGATAGCTCTGATGATGACATTTATTATGTCGAAAGTATACTCAGCTTAATTAATAAATTATTTTACACACTATCAATTTTATTGAAAACATACAAAACCTGCTTACCAGTTAGAAGGAGGAAATGCCCGTCTGGGAGTGATGAGGGTCTTCTACGCGCTAGCTGGAACGAGACAGGGAGTCTTCTTGCTGATGAATGGTGTGGATGTGGATGAATGGAGAATGAATGAATAAAGGTAGTGCTTCGGAAGTGATGCCGGTCATTACAGCGGCCATTTCGCTTCCGGATCGCTGGATGACAGAGGAGGGTCTGGTTTAGCAGGTAGGCGGTCGACGTAGACTCAGCTACGAGAGAGTATTTGAAGATTCCAGGCCCCCTCGCTATAAAGAAAAATAAATTAAGACGTTAGCACCAATGATGATGATGAAGCATTTTATGATCTTGAGAGATTCTTTATTTAATTATTCATATTTGTTGTCTCATTAGAACTTCAGAGAAGGCATCTGATTGACCTTCCTTTTCATAATTTTCCCGATTTTGTAATTTTTTCATTTCACCTTTCATCTTTTATTCTTGCAATGTGTCTTCATTATAGCTTTCTTTCTTATTCTTTCTGTTAAGTCAGTTACTTTTGTTCTTTCTATTTCTAATTCTGTATCTGAGTATCTCTTTTGTTAAACTTTTATTTGTCAGTGTCTGACAAATTGGGATTTAACATTGGCAATACATAAGCATGGTTTTGTGAACAGTCTTGTACTCAAAAGTTGGCAAATTATTTGTTAGGATGCATTTCATTTTACTAAAGGCTACACCCCAGTCTCTCACTCTCCTGTCTACTTCAATTTCTTTATATTCTTTTCCTGTTGTTATCTATTTATATTATGGCCTAAACTGTAGAAAAATGTCTTACATTTTCCAATTTCTTGTTGTTAAGTGTGATTTCTTTATCATCTGAACTCATCACTTTTGTTTTTTTTTCATACTCATCCTTAGACCTATCTCTTTTGATTTATATTCTAGCTCTGTTGCCATTTTCTTCAGAACTTCTCCGTTTTTTGAAAGAAAAACTGAGTCAGTATATCATTGTGTATTTAAGATTGTTCACACACCATTTATGTCTATTCCGTAATCCCTTCAGTTTAGCATTTTCAATCGCTAAGGTGAACAACTGTACATAATGTCTCTTTGTCGAATATCTCTTTCTATCGAGACTCCTTGGCTAGGACCCCTGTGTGGGTACTAGCCTCCCCAAGGATTTCTCTTCAGTCGTCCATATCCATCGCCTTCCTCCGACAAGCACGTATTACCATTTTCTCATGTCTTCACCGATGTTATCAAGGAACCTTGTTCTAGGTCTTTTACTTCTTCTCAGACCAATGGGTCTATCAAGGAGCATTTTTCTAGCTGGGTCACTTTGTTTCATCCGCATTAACATGCCCTATCTACCTCACACGTCCTATCTTAATATGTTTTACGATATCTGGTTCCTGGTATATTCTATAAAGTTCGAAGTTGTATCGTCTTCTCCACACTCCATTGTCATTCAATGCTCCATAAATTCGCCTTAGTACTTTTCTTTCGAAACAATAACATGTTTTCATTACTTTTGGTTAGAATCTCTGAACCATATGTGAGGTCTGAGCGTGTTATTGTTTTGTAGAGTTTTATTTTTGTATTTCTCGATATAATTGTGGAGATTAAGCCCAAAATAGCATATGTTAGCTGTGCAAATTCTGAGGTTTATCTCTATCTATTATTTCAGTGTTAGGGAGCTCTTTCAGGTATGTAAATTCGTTCACTGCTTCAATGACGTTGTTTTCTATAACAAGTGGTTGTAGGATTTGTAGTTGCGTGCTTATTTTCATATACGGCTCCCTGGCGCAGTCGTTATTTGTTTTAAAAGGTTCAGACAGTTCCTCCTGAATTCGTGCTGTACATTCAACTTTTTTATGTGTTAGTTTTGTTAAATTTGCCAACTGATTTGGTATTCCTAACCCTTTCATTGCTTTAAACATTTCTCTTCTATTCACAGAGTCGTAGGCTGCTTTGTAGTCTATAAACATGTGATAAGTATCTATGCCGTATTGCAGTGTTTTTTCTAAAATTTATTTCACAGTTGCAATATGATGAATTGTCGATTTACCATCTCTGAAACCAGCCTGGTATTTTCCTACTATTTCTTTTGCATATGGTGCAATACGGTGACATAGTACTGTGGAAAATATTTTATACGCTGCATTTAGAAGCGTAATTAATTCCTCTCTGGAGCATTCAAATATATCTCCTTTTTTTGTGCATGGTGCAAAATCTTCCAATATTTCAATCATTGGGGAGGGATTTCTGTGTCCATATTTCTTTTATAAACTGCTGTAATGCCATTATGGTATCATGGCCACCTTCTTTATATAGTTCAGCTGAGAGATTATCTATTCGGAGTGATTTGATTCTGACTAGTTTTTTAACTGCATCTTATCATCAAGAATCGTTGTTGGTTTCTCTTCCCTCTTGTCTTTTCCCCTTACCTCATCTCTTCCGTCTTCCAGGATTTTTTCTTCTTCCTCTATATTAAGTGCTTGGTTAGGGTATCCCACCCATCTATTTACTAAATCTTCCTTTGTTGTTAATAGATCGCCATTCTGACTTCTGCATTGTCTTGTGGTTGCCTTGAAATATTTTCATGGACAAACCAATGATTTTTACGGTACAAATCAAATAATACATATATATATTTTTATACGTTATTTTCTTAGATATATATACGATTATCTATTTTATTTTTGATTTTTTCATTTGGACTGGGCCATTTCCATTTCCTCTGCATTACAAACCAAAAATTTCTAGTTTTCTATGAAATTTGAAATCTGTTTTATATCTCTTACTTATTGAAATGTTTTCTATGAGCTTTTCTTCGTTTAAACTTTGTTTTCCAATTATAATGTTATCTGATTGACCAGTTTCCATATATCCTATTTTTTAATTTCTTTCATTTTTTTAGGCAAATACATGGCTTGCTGTCTACTCTACCGCGGAGACGTAGTTCCCAAAGATGTTAACGCATCCATAGCCTTGATGAAAGCCAAAAGTAACGTCAGATTCGTCGACTGGTGTCCCACTGGATTCAAGGTCGGTATCAACAACCAGCCTCCGACTGTGGTGAAAGGAGGTGATTTAGCTCCCGTACAAAGAGCTGTTTGTATGCTTTCAAATACGACAGCAATTGAATCTGCGTGGAAGAAACTGAACAAGAAATTTGACTTGATGTTTTGCAAACGAGCTTTTGTGCATTGGTATATTGGGGAGGGAATGGAAGATGCCGAGTTTGGAGAAGCGAGGGAGAACTTGGCAACTTTGGAAATGGATTATCAAGAGGTTGCGTCAGATTCTATCGAAGAGGAAAATGAATTGGCTGATGGAGATGTATAATATAATTACCAATAACTAAATAAATTCTTTTCAACAGCCTTCCCCGTTATTTTATCGTCTTTTAAGATTAACGACAGTCACAATGTATGATTTACGTCCAGCTGCAATAAACAGTTGACTGAATGTGTTACACGCATCAAGTATATTATAGCCTGCGATTAAATTATTTTTTGAAGGTCTTTCAAGTTCTTCTTCTTCTTCTTCCTGTTTATAAGCAATTCTTCTTGGTCATTGGCCGATTAATACCTCTATGGAAGGCTGTCACTTCATTTTTGCGCGGTCGTCCAATACTTCTTCTGCCGATTGGTGACTTATCTCTTGCTATTATGACGACACGGGTTTCCTCCATTCTGCTATGTAGTTATTCCATTCTTTTTTTTCTGTTTTGTATTCATTCCTTTATACACTGTATGTTACATTTTCTTCTAATGTCTTCACTTCTCTTTCGATCTCTTAGCGGATTTTCTGTAATTCTTCTCAGTACTCTCAGCTCTGCCGTTTCCAGTAGCCTTTGCGTTGTGACTGTATCGGGTCTTGTTTTTGAGGCATATGTCATTATTGATCTTACACTGGATTTATAAATTCTTGACTTCATCTCAGTGTTAATGTGTCTGTTTCGCCATGCAGTGTTATTAAGGCGGCATCTTGCCAGTCTATTTGCTTTTGTTACTTGATCTGTCACTTCTTTATCCAGTTCTCCATAGCTAGACAGTGTAATTCCCAGATATTTTACAGTAAAACCTCCGTTAACCGAAATAATTGGGGGAAGGCCGTTTGATGTTTTGCAGCTACATCTCTTCACCGTTCATTTACAGAACGCCATGAGTTTGCCTCATTTGATTGTTCGACGAAACGTAAAGCAATCTGAAAAGGACAAAATTTTATGCAATGACAACAAAATTAAGAACCTAGTCGTGCCCCTTCCTAATTAGGCCTACTGTATAAAATATCTCTAAAGCATTGAAAATCTCATCGGCGGTCTCGTGCTGATTGTTGTCTGGCATTCGGATCGTCATCTTCGTCGTCTGATACGCGCAGGTTGTCTGGATGAAGAATCATCAATGATGTCCTGGTAGATGAATTCACTTTCTGAGTCATAGGCTGCTAACCACTGACGTATCTCTTCTTGGTTAATTTCGTCACATCCCGGCAAATGTTTTATTAAAGGTTTATCAAAATGGTTTCTTTACCATTTTATTCTTTAGAATCGTCAATCAAAATCCTATCAAAAAGTTTGCTTCAGCATTTTTCCAAAGTTGAAGATTTCATCTTGGCCCACGACTCAGCATACCAATAAACAACATGTTTCATTGTTAAAGATTTGGGAATTTCGGGAACACTTTTACATTCATTCGTCTCCCGTAATAACAGATGTCTTAAGAATGCTCCTCTATAATTTCTCTTGAATGTCGTCTATTACTCCCTGGTCTAACGGCTGAATTAAGCTTGTGACATTCGGTGGCAAAAATCTGACAATTGTCACCATTTTGTAGATTTTGAGGGTGAGTTGGCGCATTATCAAGAAGCAACAATGCTTTGTGGGAAGGATTTTTGATTTGAAAAAGGATTTTACACTTGGGACGAATTAATTTTCCAACCATTTTGAAAATAAAGTGGTCAACATCGATGAGCTTTTTTGACTTCTATAAAAAACTGGAAGCACTTTTTCGGCAATATCTTTTAGAGCTCTTGGTTTTTTATGATATCCCAGCACACATAGGCATCAATCAGTGAGTGAAATTAATGGAATTGTTTAAGTTTTGCGATAGAAATTTACTTTTTATTGACGAAATTATTGAAACTGTCAGCCGTTTCGGTTAAACGATGTTTCGGTTAAAGGTGATTTTACTGTATTTCCATTAGATAAAGTGCCATAATATCGGATAGTTGCCTATTATCGGATAGTATAGATTACTAAGGTTTTTTAAATCCATAAACATAACCTTCACAACAGGTGATAATTTGCCTAATATCAGGTCGCACTTCTAATATCGACCTTTGACAAATATTCTTATTGTTTTTATATAGAATATCTACTATCATTTCTACGTAGTTAAGCTCGTGTTACCAATTACATTTTAATGTTTTCGTCGACAAAAAAAGCATTATACCATAATTTTTGCACTATGTCTGCTTATTTTTTATCTCATTTCTTATGAGGATATGAAATAGGATAGTACATCCATGTTTGCAGCTGTTACTGCAGTTAAAAACAAAGAAATGAGGTACTTGCGCTTCAAAAACTTTTAAAGTACCCAAGAGCACGTTGGAAGACTAAGTAAAAAATAAAATAAAGTCACCTGAAGAATTTATTCAAACCAATATGGGACGTCCACAAGTGTTTTCCAAAGAAATTGAAGCGGATTTGGTCGATTATTGCCTAGAAATGAATAGAAGATTTTACGGACTGCGATCTTCTGATATTCGAAGATTAGCCTTTCAATTAGCTATTCGGAACAATTTAAAACATCCGTTTTCAACTAATAAGAAAAAAGGAGGTTACAAATGGTTGCGTTCATTTTTAAAGAGGCATCCTGAACTAACGTTTAGGAGACCACAGGGTTTATCAACTGCCAGAATTAAAGGATTCACAGAAGAAAACGTAAATGATTTTTTTGAAATTTTGGAACCTGCGATGGAGAAGATGAAATTTAATCCCTGTCGAATTTATAGTGTAGATAAGACAGGTATAACGTCTGTACAATCAAAGCATACCAAAATAATCACCTTAAAAGGAAAAAAGCAGGTAGGGCCCGTTACTTCTGCAGAAAGAGGATTACTAGTGACTGTGGGGACCTATATGAATGCGGCTGGTGGTTTTGTGCCCCATATAGTCATATTTTCCCGAAAAAATATGAAGGTAGAATTGCTCAACGGCGCTCCACCAGGGACAATAGTTGCCTGCTATGTGTCTGGCTGGATTCAGAGTCACATTTTCACCAATTAGTCACGTTAAACCAAGTGAAGCTGATCCAGTTGTATTATTATTGGATGGTCACTTCCTTTGCAGATTATCTTTATCTTGGGCTATCAATATTGCGTCGTCTGCGTAATAGAGCATTTTGATTTCTTTGTTTTGTTTCTTTTGTTTCCCATTATGTATCCTCTTTCTTTGTTAACGGTTTTGATAATTTCATCTATGATCAAATTGAAGAACATAATATATACGTAAAGATAATTTAAATATTTTTTAACTTCGTAAATAAATTCAATAATTTATTGATTAATTTTCAAATAATACACATAGAAACAAAATACCTTGAAATAAAATAAAAAATAATTAAAGTTTTAATCAAACCATAACATAACCTTAAAATATAAAAATTGATAGTAAATATCTTAATCCTTTGATATTCTTACCTCACAAATTCACGAAAAACAAATAATACCATCCGCACAGAATGAATGTCCATAACCAAAAGTCCTTATTTATTCTTCATACAATTAAACACACCAATATTTCCAACTTCTTATGGGACAAATACACACAAACTAGAAATGTTTTGAAAGGTTTTTAAAACCCCTGTCCATTGTGACGTCAGATTTAGGTAGTCCATTTTACAGTTAATAGCAATACTAATTTGATACATATTTTTATAAAACAAAACTATATATTTATACTAACCTTTTATTTATATCACATTAGTGCGGAATATTTAATACTTTTTAATAGAATACTGGACTATGGTGAAATAGTTATTGATATATTCACCAAAATAATATAATATATTTTGCTGTCTTTATTATGACATATATGACATATGCATTGAATGGACCGCAGGAGTGTGACGTCACATTGTCATTATTACTTTCCAAACAAACGTTGAAATGTCAAATCTCAAGACTTTTTAATTCCTATAAAGTTAACATTTTGCTTCCTCTGCTGCTTTTTCTTGTAAGTATAGTGTTTTTACGATAATACCGTCATAATTCAGAGTTCTATTTCTATGAAATATGGTTTAAAAGTTTAATTAAAGAAATTTTAACCTTACTTTATTGATACTTTCATTTTATTCCTATTAGCATAAAACAATGTACTTTATTATTTACACAACCTTGTAAAATTGTTGTAGTAACTATTAGAATACTTAAATATTGCAAAAAGCGGAAAGATTCTATAAAATAAACGAAAAAATAACGAAAAATACAAATTATCCATACTAAACAACGTTTGTTTGGAAAGTGAAACTGGCAGACAGGGTTGCCAGGTGAAAATTTTTGTCCACCCTAAATTGAACATTAAAATATCCCTAGAAATCCCTAGATTGGAATAAATGTATATATGGTTGCCTAAATCTGAATAAAATGATGGGATGTATTGATGGTTGCCTAATACCATGGATATAAAAAAATAATTGTTGTTTTATTAGACAATTATTTGTTATTTAGACAAAAGATGCGAAATTCTAAATGAGATAAAAACTAGAAAGATGGAATACTTGGGGCACATTGTGAGAGGTGAAAAGTACGAACTTTTAAGAAACACCATGCAGGGCAAAATTAAGGGCAAAAGAAGTGTGGGAAGAAGAAAAATATCGTTGCTTCGTAATCTACGTGAATGGTTCGGGTGTAGTTCGATTGAACTTTTTAGGCGCTCTGCTAACAAAGTCGCAGTGGCCATGATGATTTCCAATCTCCGCTTTCAAAAACATTACATTTTTAAACGGTACAATAGCGATGATTTGAATAAATTTAACAAAAACGGTATAACGTACTTATTTATGGCTTTGAATATTATTATTATTATTACTTAATAAAATTAATACAAAATACAACTTGAAGAGAAATGAGACGGTGAAGCATAGAATTTTATTTATATGTTTTCACGAATCCTGTAATTCACCCGATTCCTACTGTAAATCACCTAATTATTTATTCTATAAAACCTAAGATTTTTGTAAATCCCCTAATTTCTGCTCCAGAATTTCATTCTCCTTTGTGAAAATATATAGAAATCTATTTTTGACAGAAATCTATTTGGTAGCATAAAATAAAAATTCTAAGAACGTGGACAGCTAGCGACATCTGATAATAGAATCCTTAAGTAGTTTACTAGTACCAAAGCTAGTACCACAGAATAATAAACATTCAGAATGCCCACTCTCCATAGAAAATTAAGTACGCGCATCTCGTTCGCGCAGACTTTCCGCCATATTGTAGAGGGAACCAGTGTTGTTTATATGGTGTGCATAGAAAAATTAACCCGGTTTATCTAGTTGACTTACGGCAATCATACACATTATATAATTATATTAACAATGTTAAATATAATAACATAAATATAATATAATTAAACATAAATATAAACAATTACATAACCTCACAAATCATGGCTGTGTTCAATGACGTATAATATATAGACTACGCAGTCCCCTATTCTCGCTATAGAATCAAGTGTCCGAAAGATCTCGGCTCAAGGTTGAAGGTATGTTTATCACAACAGCGGCGTGCTCATTTATATGTTAATGACAATAATTATTTTTTTAATTAAAATTAAATATTTATGATTTCTTTTTGTCAAGTCTATAAGAGAAATAATTATTTTGATAAAATAGTATGGCATTTTACTAAAATAGTAAGTAAATAACTCTCAACAATTTAAAATAAAATTTGCTTGTCACACAAAATGGAGAAAATGTTTTCATACGTCCATGATGTTTTAAACACAAGATCAACTTCGTGATGCTTCGTAAAAAATCATAAACTTCGTGCATCTTCGTATCAAAACAATAAACAATAACAAAGGTATTCATGGTTTGGACACTTTTTAAAGCGTTCACCGAGTCTATATATTATACGTCATTGGCTGTGTTATGTGTTTCCTTCTAAAACATGGCGTGCGTGCTGAAAAACTTCAAAGGTGGCATCTGAGAGTGAGCATTCTGATTGTTTATTATTCTGTGCTAGTACTTTAATTATTTGTAATGAAAAATGGCTTATTTAATTCTGTTAATACGAAGTGGTTTTATACCTGAATAAAAGAAAATATTATTATAATAGGCCTATGTAGTTAAATATTTGAGCCGGTTAAAAATCCCTAGATTTTACACTAAATATCAAAAAAATCCCTTTGTCCCTTTTATACTGAAATATCCCTAGATTCGGGATAAATCCCTAGATCTGGCAGCCTTGCTGGCAGATGTCAATCAAATCTACGTCATCACTCCTGTGGTCCATTATGGCAGCGTCTGAGCAAGGTTGCCAATTTTTGTCGCAGTTTTAAACAGTGGCGGCGCAAGATCATACTTTTATGTGGGTAAGATACATTTTGCGAGGCCCTCTGCTCGGACATGAAGATAGATTTTTTAAAAGTCATGACATATGTCATTTCATTCTTCTTCCTATGCCGTCCCCATTAACGGAGGTTGGCAACCACATTTCTAAAAGTTTCTCAGTCTTTTGCAACGTGGAATAGTTCATCTACAGTCATGTTTGTCCAATCTCGAATATTCCGCAGCCATGACTTCCTCTTTCTACCTATTCCCTTTTTGCCATCGACTCTACCCTGCATAATGACCTGCAAAAGACTATATTTATCATTCTTCAGTATGTATCCAAGGTATGCAGTCTTGCGTACTTTTATTGTTCCCAACAATTTTTTGTCTCTACCCATCCTTCTCAGCACATCGCGTTTAAAGCGACCAAATCAACTTTGCACAGGCATACCAAAATAAATTATTTATTTAAACACATAAGTAATTAATAAAAATTAAATCTAAGACCGATATAATTATTAAATTATCATGTGCGTTGTGATAGGTATCTTATAGATTCATAAGAAGTTATGCTCATGAAGTTTCGAAATACAGCTACTCATCCGAACAGGAATCCCCAGTCACATTTAAGTCTATTATTATTATTATTTAAGTTTTTCTTTTATTTTAAAGTCTATTATTATTTTGTCGAAAACAGTGTCTAACATCCCGTCCAATCTCCACATTTTCTTTGCTTCCCATGGCCGATCACATGGGCTACGGCATTAGCCTAATATTCTTACCGTATCCGTTCCATTACGAGTTCTAGCAAAAGTTGAAATTCAGATTTTATATGCCACGATTTTAGGAGTTACGTAACCGTTTGCTTGCGCCCACATTAATTCTATCGGATTTGATTCGCAATGGTAACGAGGAAGTCTCAAAATGGTGATCGCTTTAGCACGAACCGTCGTATCTACAACATGCTGGCGATATCTGTCACGACGCTGTCTAAGGGCACTTATTAGCTCAGCCTTAACCATGTCCTCGGAAAAAAATGGAATTCCTTTTTGTCCTAACCAACTTTGCATGTCTGCTTTTACTATTAACGAATTTGGCTAGACTCATGAAAGAAGGGATTCAAATCATTTTTCAAGCCGTTGGGCGTCCATGCCTTCGTGATAATCCCTCGTCTTTTTGGATAATATGCTTACAGGTAACCAATCCGTACTCCATTTACTAACAATTCAAATTGCATTTGGTGATATTGAATCTGACTCCGATATACAGTTTGATGATGGAGCTAATCGTGATTTACGAGAAAGAATTGACGGTCCTGAGTGAAGGCGCCAATAGGTATTCACTCCATTTACTAAAAAATCAGGAATCTGTCAATATTTATCTGAATTGCTAGAAAATTAGGAACCGATATTATTTTTTAATGCATTGATAGGTAATGATATATTTCAATATATTGCTGAACAAACTAATCTATATATCACGCAAACTATTACAAAAAAGAACGATGTTACTCCAACTTCTCGATTGTGAAATTGGGTTCCTACTGATACATATGAGATTAAACGTTTCTTCAGTTTGCTATTGTACATGGGAATAGTTCGTTTGCCCACAATTGCAGATTATTAGAGTACAGAACCAATGTTTAAAAATGGATTTGCTTCCACAGCTATGGTAGGGTAATAATGCGTCAAAGGTAAAAGACATAAATATGGCATAAAGATATTCAAATTATATTGTAATGGGGGCTATACTTATAATTTACAAATTTATGTAGGTAAAAATTTGAATCACCAAAAAACAACACCAATAGGAGTAGTAATGAAACTGGGCGAACCTATATTTGATTGTGGTAGGATGATAACCGATAGTTGGTACACTAGTTTACCTCTACCAGAACAACTTATAAATAGACAAACGCATCTGATTGATACATTAAGAAAAAACCGAAGAGGTAATCCGAAAGTAGTGGTAGAAAAAAACTCAATTTTGGAGAATTTTATGCAAACGAAAATAGGAAAGGAAGTACAGTACTTTCACGGAAAGACAAGACATATATATTGATGCTTTCAACAAAACATTCGCATGAAACTGCTCAAGTTAAAAACCGACGAGGTTAGGTAAGAGATAAGCCTTAAATGATATTGGCCTACAACGAGAGGAAATCTAGGGTTGATTAATCCGATCAAATGGCAGCATATCAGTCACCACTAAGAAAGACTATAAAGTGGTACAAAAAGTTAATATTTGAAATAATCTTGGGAACTGCTGAAGTCAATGGTTGGCTCAAGTACAAAGAAGTAAATAACAGCGATATTGGCATTCTTCACTTTCATAAATCGATTGCCTATGCATTATGCAATGCACGTCAACAACAATTAGATGCCGAGGAAGACATCACACAAAGACAAAAACGACGTGGCCGTCACGATATAAGAACAAAAGATGTGAAGAACCGAAAACCCTGTAACAGTTGCTATGAAACTGTAAAGAAAAGGATGTGAATGAGAACCATTTATATCTTTAAAATGTTTTAATAAAATCCACAGGTACTGAGCGGAATGAGTTTAATTTAATTATTGTATTTTCTTTTACTTTTTATAAAATACTGCTATGTTTTGACATTTTAAAATACAAACTGCAAATTTGTCATTAATTTTTACGTTTTTATTTTTCTCATCGATAAAAAGTTAAAGTAAAGTCTCGTCGAGATAAAAACTGGGATGTCACAACACTTTTTCTATGCCAGCTTGGTCAGTTCATATTTATGAACGTACTTTAAACCGAGACACTGCCATTTGGAATGCAATAAACCGTCTAGGTCACGTTGACCGAGACGGCACCACAGTCACGTTAAAATTCTCGGTCAAATAGACCTCGCTGGCATGCGGGTAATTTTTTCTCGGTCAAATAGACCGACACGGCAGGCAATGTGTTAATTGAAAATTGTTATAGTATAGAGTAGTTATGATAGGTGAGATTAAGTTAGGCAATTCGTTTTTATTGCTTTAAATCGTTTAAATAAAACTACAAAAATTGATATAACATTTTAATATCACTATCTGAAACGTTATAGTAGGCCGTTTTAAAAATATTCTCATCGACTATCAAGATGTGCTTTCTATGGACTTCATATATATAGACAAAGGATAGGACGATACGTTAATACATAATCAACAAAAATCACTAACAGAAAACATCACAAAACAACAAAAAGGAACTAATACAGGTACATTTAAAAGATTTTTCCTACGACCACATAAAAAATAAGTTTTTCCTTAAGAGGTGCTGGATATAGTTTTCTACTTAAAATTCAATGTTCATTCTAAATATAACATTCTATAAAAAGCCTATACATTATAGATCTTATAAATGTTTATAGTATGTATAGATGTCTATGTTAATAGCAAAAATACTCCTTATTTACTAAGAGATAAATATGGTCATAGAAAAAATACAATGTTTTACTTCCAGCATCAAGCTAACAGAAACTGATACCCAAAACAAACCTATGAGTGGTGGACGATGACGTCTGATTCTGAATCTACAGTTTTATTATCATCTGATGCTTCAGACTCATTTTTAACTGTGTCAACATCGTCATCAGTTTTTACTTCATCTCTTTCATCACTCCCTTCTTCAACCTTTGGAATATACAACAGTTCTTCAGATCTACGGATTTTAAACCCGCCGCACTCTTTTCCGCCGCTATCGGTTGAAGTGTCGTCAAAGTCGTCTGAATCAGATAAATTTTCCGATAACATTTCTCTTTCCTCTGCCAGTAGGTCCTCTTGGAAATCTTCGGTATTGTCAGAACTTTCAGATTCTGATCGTCGACGTCTTTCTTTAATTTTCTTGTTTATTGTAAGCATACCTAAAAGCAGATAGGCATAAGCACAAGTAAAAAATTTAATCTGATAATAATGTCAATAGTACAGTATACGATTATATAAGTGCTTCATATATACCCACCCAAAAAGCAAAAGAAATGCAAAACCTTCGAGAGAAAGATACTAAACAACAAAAAAATAATAGAACCAAAAATACCAACCAAGAGTTGGAAAACATCACTAAATACAAGAATGGATGTAAAATAAGGTCATAAAATAAAGAACAGAGGGTAAAACGGTAAGAGTACGTATAAAGGAAAGAGAAGCCAAACACCTTGAGGGTGATAACTGACGATTTGTAGATTATAGATTTCAAATTTAGCCTTGTAGAAGACCTAAAAAGTTTATTCAATCAATTTCCGCGTTCTGATCTGTTGCTTGCTTTGTTTTTACAGCTGGTAATCTTTTTTCAGATCTTGTTCCACACTGTTCCATATGTTTAAATTTGGGTCTCCTTTTGACCTTCTCCATATTGGCTTCTGCCTATATTATTTTTTTGGCACTTATTAGGCAAGCATGAGCGGCCCTAAATTCGACAATTCTGGTTGTTGAATTCATCCAAAAAAAGGAGCCTCATTGCTGAAGATTATTTTTCGATGAAATTAGGTTTCCAACTGCTCTAGAGTTCATTCAATGAACACACGTCATTGTCTTTGGTCGTTCACCTTCAGCTGCTAGATGAGTAAATTTTGTACGGTCGGAGGCCCAAGTCACGACTCATAATTCGCCAAGTTGTGGTTTGTGAAAATCCACTGCATCGGACTCTTCTTCAGCAGATCTTGAGTTTCGCCGACGTACGGGTGTTGATAGATTGTTTACTAGATCAGACACTCAAATCTATCCCCTTTAGAAAGCTTATGGTGATCGTAAAATGTGTAAGCGCACGGCGCGGAACACCCATTTTGATAAAACAATTTTATCAATTGACATATCCTTGTCCTCCTCCTCCTCAATATTTTCTCCTTCGTAAGGATATAGTGGCGTCATGTAATTTGTTTGACTATTTCTGTTAAATTATCTCTCTCCTGTGCGTGTTGTTTTGCTTCGGAGAATGAGTAACAAGTCATCTCCTTTATTTGGTCCGACCATCATACTAGAGATCTTCTGGATCTTTTACCAGCTACGTTACCTTCAACTATCATTCGCTCCATGCCTTCTCTTCTTCTAGTTATATGTCCAAAATATTTCAGTATATTTTGGTTGATAGTTGTGATGAATCTAGTTTTTATGTTAAGTTCTGCTAGAATTGAGTTATTTGTGCGATGGGCGGTCCATATTAGTATGTTCTTCAAAATTGTGTTGCCGATCTGGGCATTGTGATGCGCCGACGGATCTCGTCTTCGCACCCTCCACTGTTACTAATAACAGAGCCTAAGTAATTAAATTGACTGCCCACTTCGTAACCTGCCGTGATTCTTATCCCTGCCTGGTTGTTTCTGATTCTATCGATGATCATCACTTTGGTTATCTGCATATTTATTTTCAAACCATATTCCATACACACCGTGCCTAACCTATTCATAATTTGTTCCAGTTCTTCTGGTGATAACGCTAACATAACAGTGTCATCAGCATAACGTAGGTTTTTGATTTTTCTTCCCCCTATCGTTGCTAAACCTTGCCATTTCTCAAAAACTTGACGCAAAAATGTGTTTCTATGTTAAACTCTCGAGATTTTTCGATCATTTGACGAATGTTAGGAATATGTTCTCTTGTTCCTCTACCTGGGACGAATCCGCATTGTTCTTGGGGAATTTGTGCTAAGAGAATTGATTTTCGTCTTTCATTGATGATGGTTAGAAGTACTTTGCTCGCGTGTTACATCAATGCTACCGTACGGTAATTACTGCAATCTGTCGATGAACCTTTTTATATATATGGGAATAAACGTGAGTTTACCCCAGTCATTTGGCCAATTTCCGGTAATCCAGATCGCATTGTAAATTCGAAGCATTACTTCCGTCCCTAATTCTCCCATTTCTTTGAATGTTTCAGCTGTTATTCCATCTTCTCCTTCAGCTTTTCCGAATTTTAGCTTTTTAATTGCCGTCTCAATTTCTGATTTCAATATTTGAAGTTCTTTTTCATAACTTCTTTTCTCTGTGTTATTGTCTGGGTCGTTGTTAGAGAATAGTATTTAGCAAAATTGTTTCCACACCTCTGCGATACCGTCTGGGTTTGTTTATGGTATTAGCACTATTATCTTTAATGATCTGTGTCTGCGGTTCAAATTCTCTCGTAGATACTTGACTTTTGAGAAAAGTTCTGTAGATTCCTTGCGGTCAGCATGTTCCTCTAGTTGTACATACATGTTTTCATTAAAGCTGTTTTTTCTTTAGGATTAGTATTTTTAATGGCTTCCCTGATCCATTTCTTTGTGTATTCCCACGTTTTGTCGGGGTCTCCGGTAGTCACTGGTAGGTCAGCTTCTGCTAATGCTTCTCTAAACTTTTCCGGGTGTTTTGGAAGCAATATTCTTGTACGCTATATCTATTCATGGTTATTTACCAAAACAGACAGAAATAATGATAACCAATTTTACAGATGTGGTTTTAACAGTAAGGTCGCTGCTGTCAAAATTCTAAAGTCTCTCTGGAAAGACCAATTAGAAATAAAAAGAAAAAGTCAATACAAGTAGAAAATAAAATTTTAGACAACAAAAATCAAACTAAAAGAGAAAAAGTTTGACAGATGTGCACTTGAAATTATAATAGAAATATTTCAAATAAAACAATTTTGTGAGTAAAGGCAGCAAATATTTGATTTCACGCAAACAAATCCCATGTATCTCTTGATACGTATTTCGACCTAATAGGTCTCGTCAGAAGAGCTATTCATGAGGTTTCTCAACGTGAAAAATCAATATTTTCTGCCTTTTAAGAAGCAACAATAACATGGCTTCGATACGGACGCAGTAGCGACATCTAATTAAACAATCGTAAAATAGTTTTCGAATGTCGTGGAATGCAAATTTTAGATTCCCCATGTCTCTTTTAACATCTTTTATCAACGTCTGTTTGCCTTGCAATTCTTAGAAGGCTCAGATTATAAAGCAGAAATCTGAATTGTGTTTCGAAAACTATTTTACGATTGTAAAACAATTTTGATTTCAATATTTACTGCAAAATACTAAACAGAAACTTACATTTAAGCGTTTGGACAAACATGTTCTTCGGTTTCCTCAGAGCCATTAACCTAGGAAATATATAATTTTTTAATATAAATAATATAGATGTATACCGTCATGCATTTAATAATTCTTTAATGTATCAGTATATTGTCTATCAAATACTACAAAGCATTGGAAATATTACAGCAACAATAACTACCACGTTGTGAATATGGACTTAATGCACAGAAGACCAAGGTAATGATAATAGATCGAATTAGAAATAACCAGACGGAAATACGAAACGTAGCGGGGTTTGAAGTGGTAAGACGTTTCAATTACTTAGGTTCTGTTATTACAAACAATGGTGGAGACAAAAAAGATATTCGTCGACGCTTTACTACGGCCATATCAGCAACGGTCAAACTTACTAAAATATGGAAAGATACGAACATAACCAGGAACACTAAACTGCGCCCAGTACGGACGCTTATCTTTTCTATCGCTATCTATGCGTCAGAAACTTGGACCATTAAAAAGTCTTGATAGAACTCGACATCAATACTAGGCTTACCACAATCATCAACCAAAATATATTGGGGTACTTTTGAATCATTACCAGACGAATGGAAATCACGGAGAGGTTGGTGGTTGAAGGCAAGGTAGATGGTAATACAACTCGAGGAAGATTGCCACTCCGATGGTCAGACCAAATAAAGTGCGCTACCGGTTAATCTCTTACAAACCATAACGTCACAACATTCTTACGAAGGATAAAGGATAGAGGAGGAGGAATAACCATTTCAAAATCCATTTCATTTGAAAGAATAGAACTTCAAGAGTATTCACGCCAAATTTGAAGTACGTTCGAACAATATTACCGGAGTTATAGAGAATTGAAAAGCGAGCTCTCAGTTTAAAAATTTCAAACGCATTTTTCTCGAAAGTTTATTTTTTTTTGTGCGCTAGGTAGACCGAATCGACCGATTTTGCTGAAACTTTGTACAGTTCATCTTTATAGTATTGTTTCGTGATTGAATGAAGGAATTTAAAAATTAGGTTATAAGTTTTGAAACAAGTTTGAATGAATTTTACATATTTCTGCTCATTCCCGTTTGTTTATGATCAATTTATTCTTTTCGTCGATAAGTTTTGCGGTTGTTTTGTATTTATAAATATGTGTTATCTCTTTGATCTTCTTCTGTAGTTTTTTTAAAGTGTTTCTGTATCCTTGCACCGTTCATTTATTTTCTCTGTCTGTTTTATTTTCTTTTGGATCATTTTGTTGATTCTACCATTATATTCTTCTTTGTTATCTTTTTGTAGACTTCCCTCTTTCATCAGCTGTAGAATTTCATTCTTCTTCTTCTTCTTCAAGTTCCACTCCTATCGGAGATTGGAAATCATTCTGGCAATTATAATTTTATTGGTTACTCGCCTGAATAGTTTTCGTCTTTATTTTCAATAATTTCATTGGCCATTCAATATATTCCTTTTTATTTACTTAGTTTTCCCAGGATTTTAATACACCCAGAATGAGTAAATTAAAATACCAATTGAAGACATTGAAGCAACAACGATACAAGCCACAATCTTACTAAAAATGAGTTATATCCATTTTTAAAGGGTTAGGTTCCTATCTACCTACAAAATAAAACCTACAGCTTTTGCTTCCTAGATGACTCTACGAGTTATAAATATCCTTGTTACTTCTATACCGAAATCAACTATTTTAAGTGTAACAACGGTACCAGCTATCACATTTTCATTATGGAAGCTCCAAGTAGTAGAACAGCTCCACAAAATTCGTTTTATTATGAAGATTTTGAAAGTGATTCTGATTCCTATTTATTGAGTCTAATTATAGTGTTAAAGACAAAGACTATATTGAAAGTAATAGTGATAGTGAACACTCTTCAGGTAGTGAACTACAGATGAATAATTAAAATATGTGGCTTGTCCCTTTTTAAGTAAAATTATTGTCGTTTAAATATTCTTTTTTATTTGCTATAAAAAATGTTAATATAAGTTCTTTATGCTAAAATACCATAGCTGCCTACTACTACTTTCGTAATATTGCTAAAAAAATTTCTTCCTCATCATCCTCATCCTCATCATCCTAAAAAATCATCCTTGCTTTGTAAGTTATAATGTCGATTTAATGTCAAGTTGTGGCTTATCCCCTTATTGCCTTAAACAATTTTACAAAACTTTTATGCTAGTCCCTTCTTCAAGATGGCGCCTTACAAACCTAGAGAAACAGACTAGACATGAGAGAAAAATCAAACGAAATTTGGGCCATAGTTATGTAAGTAAACGGCAAAAATAAGTACCTGACAGGGAAATCGGACCTCCATGTAAGTGAAGCAAGAAATGTCGAGATGCTATGCAAGGAAATGAAGCTCAGATCTTTAATGCGTTTTGGAACTTTAATGACTATGATATATTTACAAATAACAAAATAGTTACTTTTTTATTCCAAATCAAACCTGTTCCAAAAAAGAACCTACCCGAAAAAACCAAAACTCATGTATCGTCGCGAAATGTTTCAATACAGTACTTTGTAAAGATAAGGGTATAAATGTAAAAATAAGCAAATAAGGGTTTCTTGCAGTTCATGGATTGCAAAAATAAACAAAAAACAAGAATTCAACTTTTATGCGAACAAATGAAGGAAGGTGCTGGTGATCCAAAAACAGATAAACGTGGCACACGCCAGAACAGAACAAATAAACTTAATGACTGTGATCGTGAAAATGTAAAAACCCCTAAAGTCCATCCCAAAATACTCTAGTCACTATAGTAGGCAAAAAAATCCAAAGTGTACATAGATCATGATTTATCAATTTCTGCCCTTTATCACGATTATTACCTGGAATGGTGTAAATATAGAAATGCCAATCCAGTAAAAAAAGCTACTACAGAAATGTTTTTTTGCAAGGAGTTTAACATTGGATTTAAATTACCTAAAATATACATCTGCAAAACAGGTGATTTTCTAAGAATTGAAATTAGAAATGTTGCCAGTACGGTAGCATCAGCAGATAGCTTAAAGACTCAACTTGAGCTACACCATCGTAGGGCCGAAGCGTTGCAAAAAACAGTTAAAAATGAAGTAGAAAATGCTAGAAAACAAAAGACACCCTTGTCATCAGTTTTGATTTACAGCAAGCTCTACCTATACCTTCGTTGACAGTTGGTCCTGCTTTTCATCTGTGACTAATCTGGGCCTAGGATTACACGACTGCGTTGAAGGTATGGGATATATGTATATGTGGCCGGAACACTTGGCAAAACGTGGAAGTGACGAGATTGCTTGTATATAATATAAGCATTTTGAGGAAAATCCGAGTGAACATAGGAAGCTTGTTGTACATAGTTGTGTTGACAAAACAAAAATTGAACCATTGCATGTTTGTGGCAAAAACTAGTTAAAGAGAGTGACTTTGATACAATAGAGCATATATTTCTAGTAGTGAGACACACACACATCTTTCTTCTGATCGTGACTTCGCAATTATTGAAAAGCATAAACGTCGGTATTTCAATTCAGTTTTAAAATGAAAAAGAAATCATCCTTTCAATGTCATTGTTCTACAGCAACAAGATATTTTGTCATCTTAAGAACACACAGATCCAAAATATTGCCAAAAAAATCTCTTCTTCTTCTTCCTACTTTATAAATAGGCTAAATGCCTGTTTTACTCGTTTTTAGCCTCAATTGACGTTGTCTGACCATCTTTTCCTCGGTCGTCCCAATGATCTTCTTCCATTTGGCGATTTGTCTCTTGCTATTCGTACTATTCTATTTTCTGTCATTCTTTCGATGTGTTGATTCCATTCCACTTTTCTTCTTTTGGTCCACGCGTTTATTTCCTCTATACCACATCTCGCTCGTATTTCCTCACTTCTTACTCTGTCTCTTAGAGTTTGGTTTGTTATTTTTCGCAAGACTTTCATTTCTGTTGTTTCCAGCAGTCTTTGTGTTTTCGCCGTATCTGCGAACATTATCGGTCTTATTGTTGATTTATATATCTTGGTTTTCGTTTCGGTTGTGAGGTATTTGTTTCTCCAGATTATGTTGTTGAGACATCCTGCTGCTCTGTTTGCCATGTTCACTTGTTTTTGTACTTCTTCTTCCACTTTTCCGTAGCTTGACATTTTTATTCCCAAGTATTCAGTTTCCATCACTTATTCTATTATTTTGTTATTTACGACTAGTTTACATCGTCTCGGTTCCGCTGATATAACTATTGCTTTATCAGCTCCAAAAAATCTCAAACAGAAAATAAAGAAAAGCTTAATTTCAGTCATTTCTGTACATTTAAATTTATTATAACCCCCTCTGTGGCTCAGTGGCAAGAGCGTCTACCTTTAAACCTAAAGGTCGTGAGTTCGAATCTCATCTGGGTGGAGAAATTTTCGTTTATTAAAAATTAATGAATGAAAATAATTTCTATCCTTGTGCGATCGGTACTCACCGGAGGGACCGCAGACGTTCGGATACAATTAGCGTCTCTTAGCAAAGCCAATGACGTCGACTTTGCTAAGTATCAAGACATTTACTCTACACACACACACAGACACACACTACACTAGGTACCTGACTGTACCATGCCAATGATCATAGTTGTCGAGGCATTAACTCAATAATAAAAAAAATATTCAAGAGACTTTAAATGTTATGTTTTATAAATATCTTTGAAAAGAAAAATTTAAATCATCAATATTGGTAAGAGAGGTGTAAGAAATGCAGTAAACCTGAGTGTAAGAGATTTAAAAATGAAATATGATGCACCCATTCCATTCAATAAAAAAAATATATCTAATCTTTCAATGCTTCTTCGGTATATACCACCTATTTACAAGAATTACTATAGAGAGATTGGTGTTGTAGAAAATATAGGAACAGATAATGATATAGATAATGAGACAGAATATTTGGATGACTTTATCGATCTGGAGGATGAAAATTAAAATGATTTTAAAACAATCCTAAGTATGGAATTGCAATTTATTGTGATTTTTCTCGTTTAATACTATGTATAACTTTTAATAGCATATTAAAATACCTATTTTACTACTTGTTAAACAAACCACATTTTTTCTAAATGTAATTTTTTTTCCTACAAAAACCACTTTATGAAAATTAGCTTTGTGTTTCAAGGCTACTAGATATACAGTTTTTAAATAGCACCACTTACTGAATTTGTAATCTATTTTTGACATTTCATGATTTGAATAAATCCTTTATAGTTGATTTTCTCAAAAACTTACTTTTGTCGCAGGTACCGTTGTTGCTATAAGATCTTCAATTAACAAAACGAACAACAATGAAAAAGCTAAATAAACAGCAAAAAAAGTTCGGAAAAATTAGATAAACCAAGTACTAAAATCCCATACCAATGTCTGAAAACATATCACGAGAGAACAAAAGAACAAGTCATACAATATTTTCTTAGAATATCCTCATAATTATCATTCTTATTCTCTACTTACTTGCTTTGTCGTTCTTGAATTTCTCTTCGCACTCTTTGTATTTCAAAAGCGAGATCGTCTCTTGGTAAAAATAGGCTACATTCTATCAAACTTATCGAGCATCTTTGGATTTTATCCAAGGGTTCATAGCTCTCGTTACTGCTGATGCTATCTTTTCGCTTAGAGTCCGGACTGTGGTATAACCAATGATATGCAAACTTAAAGATCACCTAAAAAAAATTAACAAATTGGGTCGTTCTTATGTCAAAAGGTAAAGAATGATGAGGAGTAAGTCCAGTCTAGAGGGCGATAATGCGTTTGTCTTCTTCTCGTAACTGGTAATAAGACTTTCAATACTGATCCCCAAATTTACAGCAATACTCTGTCTTCCAAACAATTACAACTCACGTATCCTACGACTAGCCTCGAAGGTGATTCGAGGACTGCATCTGTCATCTTTATTAGAAGAATAATAATTTTAAAGTAACTATTTTTTTGTGCGAATAATCTACACACCTAAAAAATTTATCCTTAAATAAGTGTGGATTCGATCGTTACTTGATGGAAGTTCATTTTATGTACTAATAAAACACTGAAAACTTTTGTTTTTAACACTTCCACAAAATTTATTACAAGTTATTATCACTACTTATTATGTATTCAGTACTTTGCTTTACGGTGTTGAGGCATGAACTCTAAACAGAGGAATATTAAAAATCTTGAAAACTTTGAGATGTTATTATGAATATAAAAAAGAGAAAACTTGAATACTTAGGACACCTGATGAGAGGACAAAGGTACACGTTCCTACAAAATATAATGCAAGAAAAAATCCAAGGACGCAGAAATCCAGGCCGTAGAAGAATGTCCTGGATGAGAAATTTAAGACAGTGGTTTGGCTGTACCACTAACGAATTATTCAAAACAGCAGTTAATAAAATTAGAATCGCTATAATGATATTCAATCTCCGATAGGAGAGGCACTCAAAGAAGAAGAAGAATCACTACAGCTGTTTCGGCAGAGTGCCCTTCTCAAGTAATATATTTTTACTACGCGTCTAACCTTTATAGTCTTTAACTAAATAAGTTGAGGAGGGGAGAGCTGTTTGTCTCAAGTGGGTCATTTAAAATTATATCTGCATTTTTTATTTTATTAATTTCCATAGATTCTAATAAAGATAGATAGGCCTTTATTTTGAATATAGAGAAGTTGAAATTTTTCATTAAAAGACATGACTGTTTTTTTCTATCATTGGAAGCTCTTTTGTGTTCTGCTATACGTTTGTTATAGGTTCTACCAGTTTGAACAATGTAAGTTTTTGGGCAGTCACCAAAGTGTTTTGTTTTTCTGTTGGTTCTTGTACAGATGTATCAGGATGGGCCATATATAGCATTTCAAGTAACGGATTCTAAGGGTAAAAGGAACTTAACGGCTAAGAAAGTATTTATCAAATGTAACCAAGGCGTTTCTAGCCATTGCTACTCTTATCTTCACTTCCAGGTCACAGTCCTACTTGCTGTTGGCTCTAATGAGCTTCGCCCATTCCATTTATGATATTGGCTAAATCTTAGCTCATTCATCGAGAGCACATCTTAGGTTAATACTAAAAATACCACTAATTTTAAGCATTTTTTGTTCTGTTGTGCAAGTTGAAATACCTTTTCTACATAAATGTTCAACAGTAGTGGAGGAGAATATAAGAATGTCTTACGCCTTTCCTTATCTCCATTTCTTCTGTGTATAGGGAGTTGGTGATCCTTAGTTCCGTTTTCTGATTCCAATATTTTCCAGTTTCTTGTGCTGCTTCAGAAGTCTGTGTATGGAATAATATCATCTTTTGTGTATCTCTTGCTTTTAAACTTATCTTTTAAAATATCTCGAAAGTTTATTGATGGCGTTTTAGTTTAGCTTAGAAATAATGCCTTTATCCCATTCGTTTTTGCAACGACTTTGTAGTAAATTAATTCACATATGTAGCTACAGATTAAATTATTGGCAAATCTACTTAGAATTAAATATCTCTACTTACTGACTGGTATATTTCACTAATCATCCATCCCAGTAGATTAAAGAACAAAAACAGTAAAAGAATGTTGGGATAATCCGATAGAATCCTTATACCAAGTGGTACTATAAAAGTCAGTGGTATCACAATGAAATAAACGGCTACACTAAAAAAGACAAATTTCGTGTTTTATTTATAGTCTTATTGCGTACAATACTTAAAAAAATGTTTACCGTATTGAAAATTACAAGAGATGGGTTTTCCGAAGTTTATAACTCAGGCAGACAGACTTATCAACTTGATCGCGATATTCGTCAAACTCTACAGTATACTTTTTTATATTCGGATGGAACTAAAGAGTTCAAATTTATTTATCGTTGGAACCAAACATCTTTTGTCTATCTCTTGCTTTTACACTTATCTTCTAAAATATCTCGAAAGTTAATTGATCTGTTATTCTATTGTTTATAACATACATATGGGGTTTATAAGGGGGGTTTATATATGGGGTGTAGAGTTGTGTTATAGAGTACCTTTTATCGAAACGATCACATCGAGCGTCATAGACGGGATGTGGGTCTTGATAACTGGTCCTCATAAGACAGCTAACTCTCACTTTTGGCCCCACGTGCCACACCCCAGGCAACTGCATTGGTCTGCAGGCTAAACTAAGTGAGAGTAGCCAGATATGGCGAAAATTCCAACGAGCGATTGCCGGTATAAGCAACCCCCACTTACTGTCCAACGGCTTCGGGCGGATGAGTTAGTAAGTGGAAAGGCACTCTTTTGTCCTGGTGCTAAGAAATTGGCACCAAAGGCGAATGAATCAAGTAAATGGTCAACGGCATAAGGATGCAGAAGGCAAGGAGAAACCACTGCATTAAAGATCCAATTGGATATCTCTAGTATAATTATCATGGCAATGAGTACTAAAGGAAAAAAAGAAACTGATCATGGGAATCGGAGACCAAGTTCCGACAGGGGAGGAACAGACAAGGACTCCCAGATCGTTAACCGGCGAAACCCTTGTCAAACTTCGAAACAAGACAAACTAAAATTATCAAAAACAAAAATAGGTACGTGGAACGTGTCAAAAACATGTATCAACTTGGTAAAATACATAACATCCTTCAGGAAATGGGAAGACTGAATATAAATATATTAGGAGTAAGCGAAACATGGTGGCCTCACTCAGGATATCTTTCAACAAAAACCAGTACCTTATATTATTCGGGAAACACTGATAACCAACATAGATGTAGAGTAGCAATTATTGTCGATACAGAGGTCAACAAATCAATAGAGGGCTTTGTCCCAATCTCAGAAAGAGTGATGCTACTACAAATAAGAACATCACATACAAAACTAAATCTGATCCAAGTATATGCGTCAACGACGGATGCAACAGAAGATGAAGTAGAAACATTCTACCAACAAATTGAAGATGCACTGAAAATGACAAAGAACAGGAAAATCACGGTAGTTATGGGCGATTTCAATGCAAAAGTCGGTAAAGGAAGAGCTGGAACAGTAATGGGAGACCAAGGACTAGGGGAAGGTAACGATAGAGGCGATCGTCTAATACAATTCTGCCAAGAACAAAGTCTAATAATCACAAACACGTTCTTTAAATTACCAATAAGACGGTTATATACATGGCGCTCACCAACAGATAAACCGGAAAAAGTTGTAAGAAACCAAATCTGCCTCCTCGCTCCATGCAAAGAGGTATTAAAAGAACCGACACGAAAGAAAGACAATTGGATGACCGACGAGATACTCGGCATGGTAGAAAAACGAAGACAAGCCCAGAACAAAGACAGTCACAATTACAAAAACATTAACAATGTAATCAGAAAAAAGATAAGAGAGACAAAAATACGACCTATTTAACATACATAAAAAGGTTAAATAAATGGCAGGACTGCAAAAAAGAAACCACAACACAACTCTCTTAGATAAAAATGGAAATGCTATGATAACGACTGACGAAAAACTAAAACGATGGGAAGAGTATATGGAAGAGCTCTTCGACGACGAAAGAGGAAACCTATAAGACTTGTCTTTTGAGGACAGAGAAACAAGTGTAGAAATTACAAAGGAAGAAATACTGTATGCACTAAAGAACACCAGAAACGGAAAAAGCCCGGGGCCAGATCAACTGCCTATTGATATCCTTAAAATAGTAGAAAATGAGTACATTGATGTCCTCTTAAAGCTTTTTAATAAAATTTATCAATCGGGTGACATACCCAACGAATGGTTGACCTCAACATTCATTTGTCTCCCAAAAAAGAAAAATGCTAGAGAATGCACCGACCACCGTACCATAAGCCTGATATCTCACACACTTAAATTGTTTTTAAAGATCATTCATAAACGCATTTACAAAACACTTGATATGGATATTGAAGAAACTCAATTTGGATTCCGTAATGGCGTAGGTACCCGTAAAGCTCTCTTTGCATTCAACGTACTAATCCAGAAATTCTTGGATGTGATCCAAGATATGTACGTCTGTTTCATAGACTACAACAAAGCTTTCGACAAACTCCTCCACAAAGAGCTAATGGGCATCCTCAAAGCAAAACAACTACAACACAATGACCTTCGAATTATAACAAATCTATATTATAAACAGCAGGCACACGTACGCATTAATGAACACACATCAGAAGAGTTCAAAGTTAAAAGAGGACTGCGACAGGGGTATGTATTGACACCACTACTATTCAATGCATACTCTGAAGAAATTATTAAAAGAGCTCTTGAGGAAGAAACAGCAGAAATCAAGGTCAATTTAACACCAATTAACAACATTAGATATGCGGACGATACTATCATATAGTAGACAACCTCCAAAAGCTAATGAACAAGATAGTTGAGTATGGAGAAGAATATGGATTATCAATAAACACCAAGAAAACCAAATTTATGAGGATATCAAAAACCCAAAATAATGGTGAAAGCCTGACAATTAACGGTAGTGCTTTAGAACAAGTTGAAAACTACCACTATCTTGGCACAATAATTAATCACACAAACGATTACTCCAAAGAAATCAAAGTTCGAAAAGAGAAAGCACGTGCAAACTTCAATAAAATGAGAAAGGTACTTTGCCTTTCTCATTTTACCGGGTAACCGGCACGTAACAAAGCAGGACCGAGCATGTAACAAACAACGAAGTCATGAGAAGAATCAACAAAATAATGGAAGTATTTAAAACCATCAAGACAAGAAAGCTGCAAAACCTGGGGCATGTTATGCGTAATGAGAGATACAACCTACTTCAATTGATTATACAAGGAAAAACCCAGGGCAAGAGAAGTGTAGGAAGAAGAAGAATCTCATGGTTGCGTAACTTGAGGGAATGGTATGGACGCACATCAATTGAACTATTCAGAGCAGCAGCATCTAAGATCAGAATAGCCATGATGATTGCCAACCTCCGTCGCGGAGATGGCACGTGAAGAAGAAGGGTTTATAAAATATCAGTTTATTCACCGATTCCAAGACATATTTTTCTGATTCGCGATTTATTATCAGATGTCGCTATAGTGTCCATACTGAAGCCATTTTATTGTTGCTTCTTTCGATGGAAAATATTTGTTTTCACATTTAGAGCTTCTGTACCAGTCGATCTGATGATTCCTGGTAGGGTGAAATACGTTTAAGCGAATATACAGAGGCACTATAAGTGAAATCAAATCTTAACTGTTCTTTCTTTTATCTCGGCTTACTCTTTATGAGTACTAGAAACCAATTCGCCAAGGGTTTTTGCTTAGATGAGGCGGTATGTTGTGGAATGCAACTTTTAGATTCTCCATATCTCTCTTACATCTTTTAGTATCGTCTGTTTTGCCTTGCAATTTTTAGAAGGCACAGATTAAAGCAAAAATCTGAATTTTGGTTTCGTCAATAAATATCTTCAGATTTCTACTTTCGCGACATATTTTTCCGTATACTAATTATTGCATTATACTTATTCCCACAAATAACTTTGAAGAATGACAATCATGATCCAGCCTTCTGTGTTCAAAGTTGAACATAGGTCTGACCTAATTTCTTCTAGTTTTGTCGGTCTTGAGCTTCCTGCAGCCAGTTTTTGGCTCATTCATTCAGGCCACATGGCCCGCCCAGTTCCACTTTAGCAATGCTATGTGCTCTATAACATCTGTGATGCCTGCTATTCTTCTTATTTCCTGGGTTCTAGCGCTGTCTCTGAAAGTCAGTCCAAGTAACGGCCATTCCATTCTTTTTTGGGCTACTCTATATAGCTATATATCTGGTCCATATTAAAGTGACTCTTCTTTGTAGTTCATCGGTTTAGCTGTCCCTGAAAATGTGGATTTCCCTTGTCCTGGATTTCGTAACGTACGAAAATTATCGTCCACAAATCGTAGGTAGATGAGCATTTCGTCGTCGACATTTGATTCCTTTGGCGTCCAATTCTATTTTTTGAAAGTATGTTCCAGAATTGCAGTGAAGAGTTCGGGAGATAACGTGTCTCCTAGTTTGATTCCTCTTTTGATTTTTATGTATTTTGTATCTTTGTGTCATCCTACGGTCATGGTTGCATTATTGAATATGTTTCGAATCAGTTTGGAGTACCGATAATATATATGACTTTCCAACAACACTGTCATATTATTTTTCGAAGAGCTAATAGAGGTGATTTAACGGGAGTGGAACTTTTAACTTGGAGAAGGGGACTTTCACAGACACACCAATCAAAATACATAAAAAAGATAAACCTAAACTGCACGAAAGACATAAATAATAGGTTTTCTTTAATTTTAGACCTTCTTAGAGGGGAGAATGAATTTCACTATTCCCCCTTGTATCTGGTTTTGTTGGATCGCCCTTTTGTGTATTAAAATGGTAAGTGCACTATGCAATCTTGTAGGCTTTTCGCTTTGATTCAGACAGAACACTTGCTTTATAGTCTCTAAAAGTGTTTCTCCTCCAATATTTGAGGCTCCTATAACGATATTGTCTTCTCCCGGAACTTTATTTCTTTTAATTTCTTTAGAGCGTTCCTTATTTTCTCTGATGATATATTAGTCATTTAAAGGGTAGAGCAATCACATTGTTTCAGCCCTGAAAATTGTTTAGACTAAGATAAACACAATTTGCTCTTATTGCCTGCTTTGCTACAGCATTTGTGGCCAAGGAACAGAAAAAAAATGTGCTGAAGCTATTTCTTTGTGACATTTTAATATTATGTAACATTTTTATTGGGTATTAATTACAATTTGACGTTTCAACTTCAGTTTGACGTTTTTAAAAACACGTGACATGTTTTGACTTTTGATGGGTGTTCTCAAGTTGAAAGTTAACTTCACGTAATCGAATAAACTATCATCAAATTCATCCCAGGAACGCACCTCAAAAATATGGACAATATCATTTTAGATTTATCTACTTTAAAAGTATAATGAATTGTCAATATTAATGAGGCAGATAAATTTAATTATTATGAGAACTTTCTGTATTACCAAGTGACAAAACAAAATTTGTTTAATTTGTATTTTGAGAACGATTTCTGAAACAACACTGAAACTGAACACTGAAATTGTGGTTAATTTCCTATAAAAACACTAAATAAAAAAAGGTTGTATATACAGAAATTCAAAAAGTATAATATACATTGAAAATAAAGGGGTTCGATCTTCACTTCGACCCTGTTAACAATTTTAAGGTAACTAAATACAAACGTAGTTCAAGCAAGACATTTTTGACGAATTATCATATAGATCATAATAAATTAGTCTTAATTTGTTTATCGTTGATTTCTAATGCAGCTAGACTGCATAAAATTTTTCCCATCTCTTGGAATTTGCAACGAACTCTATTCAACTAGAAAAATTTAACATGTTTTATGCATCAACATTTAACTATTGTATACTGTATATTTTTTACTTACTGTATAGCAAACGTTACGACAAACAATGCAGCTATAAACAACTTATAATAAAAGGATTTCTGATCCAAAATCACAAAAAGACCCCTTGTGATCTGTACAACCACTTGTGCAATACTGATCAAAGCAGAAAGCGAAAAGGATATTTCCACGACTCTAAAAACATAGAAACATAACAGTTGTTTTTTTATAACATATATTTTAATACTGTAAGTACCAAGAACATCATTTATATATAATTTGAACGATGTTATGCATCACTTGACTAAAATCATGATCTAGGTCAGTTAAACTGCGGTTTTATGGCTCGCCGGTAAAGCTCGCCAGAGTGTCACTGCAATACCGCGATTTTAAATACCGAACGACCCTGGCTCGTGACTCGTTATTATGTTTGTCATATTTTTTTGGTTGGCTCTTCAAGTAAAACCGCGTTTTTAGGTCCCTGGAAGAATTTTTCCGAAAATTTGCCTAGATATTAAAGTAGAATACTGTAAATTTATTTGGATTTTACCTTCGGACTGATATTCCGAAGTGTTATTTCGTGTTTTGTATTATAAAGTCAATTCATTGTATGATTTTTCAGACATTCTCATATGTCATAATCAATTAAAATCCACAAGGAAAATAACTCCTGCAGCTGGGTGTATGCCACGTATCACAAAAAAAGAGCTTAGATCTTTTTTTTTGTGGTTCTACTAACAATTTCATTATTTCGCGGTGAGATAACACATGTCCAAGTAAGACAAGTTCAATTTCTATTCAAACATGACTGTTTTGCTCGCCAGTTTATCAGCACCAACCAGCTGCGAGTAAAACCGACGTTCTTTAAAACCGCGGTATAGACTCGTCCGTCGATCACCAACGATTATATCTTGAAATTCGAGATAAAGGCACATTATGATCTCCTAGCAACAATTTTTAAAATAAATACGAATAGACCATCAGCCAAAGTTAAACTACATATTGTATTTTGCATAACTACACCAAAAGTACAAAATCATTAGATAATTTTGATAATTATTAGATTAATCAGTATACCAAGCGCCATTTGCTGAAATTAGTCTTGTTATACAAAAACTGTGCTATCACTAAATGTCACTAGATCTACTAGACTTTTTGGATTACTTAGTTAGCTATTTGGCTCGCAGTTTTTCCTATACCAGTGTTATTTGTCTTTATCAAGAGGGGCCAGTATATTTTTTTATTTTTTCTAAAAATGTTTTAATCGATGGTATAACCGGCTCCGATAGTGATCGGAGCAAAATTGATGGAGTTCTAGGCATTTTAAACTGCTTAGACGTTTTAAGAGAAAAATTCTAAGGAAAATAGATGGAGGAGTCCAAGAACAGGGTTTATGGCGTAGGCGCTACAACTTTGAATTTTACAGAAGTTTTGGGGAATCTGACGTTGTAAAATTTATTGAATTAGCACGACTTCGATGGAATGGACATGTAATTAGGCGAGATGAAGATGCAACGATCAGAAAAATTTTCGACCGAAAAGGACCAGTGGGTGGATGATTCAGAGGAAGACCAAAACTAAGCTATCGAGATAACACAGAGGATGATCTAAAATCCATCGGAGTTAAAGCATGGAGAAGAGTTGCCAGAGACAGGTGCGAATGGAAGATTGTTCTGAAGAAGGCTTTGGCTCATGACAAGCTGTAATGCCACTGATGATGATGATAGGCATTTTAAACATAAGAGCTACAATGAGAACAAAAAGCGTAAATATCAGTTTCTCGGTGCCCGCGTTTTTTTAAATGCGTTTTTCTTGAAATAGTTTTTTTCGAGTCGGTATGCATCTCAAAAACCTGACCGATCCTTCTCAAATTTTGCACAATTTTTTTATAGATAAATTACTAGAGCGCAACATCGAGATATTGTCAATTTTATTGTCATAATTAATTTTACGCCAAATTAGTCAAATTTTAACATTTTTCGAAAATACAAAAAATTCTAAAATTTGAAAAATAATAAAATAAATAATATCTCGACGTTGTGACTTAGGGAAACTCATAAACTAACGAAACCTTTTTGGTTTTTAATCAACAGATGATCCAGTTATAAGTAATACGATAATCCAATACGATGAACACTGCAAAGAAACTTTTTTGCATCTTAAATATTTTTATTTCTAAAGTACTAAAATTTCTAGTACTAAAATTTCATAAAATACTCCTGAGCGTACTCTAATGTCATAATGTTATAAATAAGTTTATATTAAACAATTCTCTAAACATAACTCTTAAAAATTTGTTTAAAATGTTGAAAATCAACCCTTAACTCAAGGAAATAGGCATTTTTTTAAGGCACCCGTCCGGCCAGGCAAACCACAGTTGTTTTGAGTAGTATGGACCTATGTAACAAAAACTTATATGTTTCCTGTACTCGATTTATTGGACTTAATTAGTTATTAACAAATTAAGGTCAAAAAACGGAATTTTTTTTCTTTTTTCCTCTATCAGCAAAAAGTGAAGCATTTGAAACAAATTTTAGAAGAGAAGAAACTTATGTCATATAAAAACCTTCAAAATGGCGTTTCCTAAATGTTTCTAGCTTTATTTGTTGCTTAGGAAGTTGCAAAATAAGTCAAAAATTTCGGTTTTTAATAAATGATAACTTTTTTGAAAATAAACTTATAACATTTATATTTCACGGAATGTTGTGTCTTGTAATGCTTAAAATATGGTCAAAATTTCAAAGTGATCGGTCCAATAGTTTAAAATTTATTTTATTTGTGTATCCCAAAATAATTTTTTTGCAACAATATAAGTCAGAAAATTATATAGTTTTAGTAATTGTAAGGGTGGTTTCTCGAAGAAGAAGACTTGTTCTATTATATACATTAAAAAAATTACAAAAAGTAATTTTAAATATTGCAAAATAATTTAACAAAAACATGTCGATTTTTTGCTTATACACAATTAGAATAACTTTTTAACCATGTCCTGTAAGAATATTATTTTTTATACTTAAAAAGTCTGATTTTTTTCACAAATTTAAAAGTAAAAAAAAATGTTCTAAAAATAATTTGGGACAAAGTTAGCAATTTTTTTTATTTAATTCATAGTAGCTTTGTTTATAGAAAATATAATTAGAGCATTTTGAAAGAATATACTTTAGTTTTAATGTACCAAATTCTAAAAATATTGCCCTTTAATGGAATCGTCCACAAAGCTTCAAAATGTGTTCTTTAAAATCGGCCGGCTTTGAAACTCGCGGGAGCTGAAGGGAGGGGGAAGGAGCTGTTAACTGTATCCAACAACCGAAATTGTTGACTTATTTTGCAGCTTCCTAAGCAAGAAATAGGGATAGAAACTTTTAGAAAACGCCATTTTGAAGGATATTATATGACTTATAAGTTTCTTCTCTTCTAAAATTTGTTTCAAATCTTTCTCTTTTTGCTGATAGACGAAAAAAGCAAAAATTTTCCGTTTTTTATCCTTAATTTGTAAATCGACTGCGGGAAACAAGTTTTTGTTACAGAGGTCCATACTACTCAAAACAACTGTCGTTTGCCTGGCCGGACGGGTGTCAAAAACAGGGTACTTTTTTTTGCTCATTTCCCTGGCCTACCTGTCCTTCCTTAATAGTTATAAGTGCGGTCTATTAGAACTTATTGTAATTGAAATGTATAATTGATATTTTAAATTTCAAACAAGAAATTTTTGGAATCACCTTCAGGGGATGTAGTACATTTTCTCCTACATTTTTTTAACGCCTCAACACTTCATGTTTGTGTGAATGAAGAACGAGGCCATGGCACTATTTGCCTTATCTGTTGACGAAAATAAGGAAACCGAAGAATTTTCTAAGGATAATAAAGATGCCATTAAGATCATACCTGATTGTCAAATTCATTCTGAAGGTCAAAATAAATCCTACAACCATTTAGGTGCTGATCCGCAACAGTTGTTAAATTTTTTCACATGCGAAAAATCATGTCATTTTTTCGCTGTATTATTAACTATCCTTCTATCACTCTTTTACGATAATTATCTTAGTCCAACACTTAATACTCCTTCCTACTCACATTTTAACCCCACTTCGTTACAAATACAGACAGTTTTAAGATAGCAAAGAAGAAAGACTCTCTTTTGATTTGACTACCGCTAAGGGCAGTCGTGCTCTCTTGATTTGACTACCGCTAAAGCCAGTCGTGCTCTCTTGATTTGATTAACGCTAAGGCCAGTCGTGCTCTATTGATTTGACTACCGCTAGGGCGAGTCGTGCCCTCTTGATTGTCGGCTACCGCTAGGGACAGTCATTATTTTTTCCCTGTTATCTATCGCTTGGTACAGGTATTTGTCGTTGAGGACAGTCACTCTCTCTCTCTCCCTCTCTTCGCTTATCAAGAAGAACAGCATCTCCCTTGGCTGTTTTCTATGGCTAATTATCTCTCTCCCGCTTTAGTTACGCGAAAAATACCGCATATACTATTTTAAATCGTGTACAAACGCAAAGTGTGATCTATAGGTGTTTTCGGGTTTTTGCCTTGACTGTTTGACAACCGTCAGGAGTTTGCGCAGAAGAAATATAAACGTTCGGGTTTATTTCGGATCATCTTAAAACTGTTTAGAATCGAAGTTTGGCGTTCGAGTTAAAATCTGATGCTGTTTGTAAACAGTTTTAAAACTATCAATTCGGTTTTTGTTAAAAGGTCTTGACTATTTCAGGATTTTTTGAGGCGTGCGCGGTTCGTTTTAAAATTGACAGTTATGACACAGTATAAAGAATGATTTTTTGCTTGTTGTTGATTGATAGGTAGTAGTCGTTTGCATTAATTAATGGTAATGTCAGTGATTTTCGAGTACTTTTTATTCAAAATGGACTCAATAATAAATGTACTGTTGGAATCAGTGTCAGAATTTAATTTATACATACCTAATTAAATCAGTATAATAGAATAATATCAATAAATAATTTTAGAGAATGAACTTTTTCTGTACTAGAAAAATTTTTTTATAAATCTTTTAAATTGAAAACTGTGATAAAAAAATATTTATTTTACAATTACGAGAAAATTAAAGAATTGATAGAATATTGGCTAAACTTTTATAATATATTACCTGTTTAATTTTACTAATTTATTCACTTACAATTTTTTTACAGACATAAAAATATGGGAGACTACCTTAATATTCATTATATTTTAATAGCATTTTAACTTTTTCAAGGAAAGTCATATAAAAGTGATATTAGAATCATTTTCCCATAAATCTACAACAGGTTAGGTTTAGTAAAAAACTATACCTATGAGGAAGTGATCAGTCCTGGCATAGAATTTATGTATCGAGTTACAATATAAAATTGTTCACAGTAGAGTATGTTGAATTGAGAAAACAAGTTACTGATAAAATAATTAAAGCTTTGACCACAAATAAGTTCCCAAATAATTGAGTGGAACTATAAAACTATAGCCTGTATTAAAACGAACGATTAAAATCAAGGATACAGTAACGTTAATGATGCTTTTTAATACAAAGTAAAAGGTGTAGGGTATTAAACCTTATTTGGTTGTGTGAGTGGTTTTTTACTGGGTAACAACTTTATGCATTAAATATTGTGGTTGGTTTGTGTTTCAGCACTTCAAGTACTGAATTTTTAGCTTTTACCAATTTCGGATTTTTACAGAAGCTCTTATTCACTCAGATTTTGATAAAACTTTGTATACGTAAGGATTTCAGGTTGTTTGACACAAATCTGGACATATTTTTCCATGGAAATGCCTAGTTTCTGAGGTAGAGCTTTTTTAGTTGTATGAGAAGGTGACCTTTTCCATACAACTTAAAAAGGCTGTATCTAAAAGGACCCTAATTTCCAACTGAAAGTAACTTAAATATCAAGAACATAGAAAAATTGAGGACAAACAAAACGTAATATTATACATTTTATAAATTATCAACATTATGTTTTTTCATCATATCTAAATACTCTCTAAGAATTGTAGTTCTATTATCCCTGTCAATTAACTTTTTCTTTTCAATTTCTCATTTTTTATACTATTTTATTCTATTGTCATACAACATACCACAGAAAATAAAATATTCCGAACATATCATTTGTCATTCACAAACAGCTGTTTTGTCATTTAATTGTCGCTATACATGTTCGTGTTTTGGCAAAATGCTAACAGTTCTAGGATCATTTTAAAATGATTTATAAATCTATACCACTACGCAAGTCGTCGGCGCAGTTTCAAAACTGTTTGGTGACAGTACAAATTTTAGAACCCGAAAATACCTTATATCGTGAACTTAGTGCGAAACACGTGTTCAGAAACCGGTGCCCGGACAGTTTTCGCGGATGAAGAATAACCACCAGTGAAAGCCGGAAAAACCGCGAGAGGGTGTAAGACTTTGATTAAATTTAATTTGCTATTGTCTGTATACCCTTTACTACATATCCTAATTTATTTGAACCAGCCCTATATAATACAGTCCACATACACTGAAATTATACTCATAATTTCCCACATATGTACACCCTTTTTGTATACCAGGATTAAAAGACATAAAAAAAGATGGAAAAAGAAAATATCCAGAAAAAAATCATCAACGAAGAAAGAAACAGTAGAATAAATAGAGAATATGTTCAGCAACGTGAAAAATTACATAAATTTCAATTATTTTACCAGAGTAGGTGAAGAAAACCTTGGACAAAAGTTTAAGAAGCTTTATTCTGTTCATTGTGGTGATGACCATTGAGTCTTAATTACTGTTAATGTCTATCATTTCTGATGGACATTAACAGTAAAGAACAATCAATCAAATTCTCGATGAAAAACGAAAACAACAACTCACTTACTGTTTTGGATATATTAATCACAAAAGAGGATACAGGATATGCAACAAAAGTTTACAGAAAACCAACTCGCACCAACCGATATTTAAATTACCACTCAAACATAAATATCAAAAAGAGAATTATCAAACCATGATATGATGAATATAATTTATATATACTATATACAGTAAACCATACTATAATGAAAATACATTTCAGGGACAAAGAACCCTGCTAACAAAGGTTTTAAAAAAGAATTTCATAAGACTTAAGACGAAGACCGAAATGAGGAACTCGTGGAACCCCCCTCGGTAGATGAAGTAAAAATATCTATAGAAAAACTAAGGAACCATAGGTCCCCAGGTAGCGATGGCATCCCAGCAGAGTTATTTAAGCACGGTGGAGAGCAGCTCACCAAGGTGATGCGAGAAATTGTAGAATTTGGTCTGAGGAGCAAATGCCAGAAGAATGGAGCTTAGGCTTAATTTGCCCGTTACACAAAAAGGGAAACCAACTGGAATGCAATAATTACCGCGGAATAACTCTCCTAAATACAGCATACAAGATATTATCAAATATTTTGCACGAGAGATTAAAGCCTTATACTAAAATGTTTCTAGGGGAATATCAGGCAGGATTCAGGCCTGGACGTTCAACCATTAACCAGATCTTTACACTACGACAGATCCTCGAAAAAGCGCAAGAGTTTAACATAGATATGTATCATATTTTTGTCGATTTTAAAGCGGCATATGACAGTATCTTAAGATCAAGTCTTTACAACGCTATGAATGAGTTAGGAATTCCAAAAAACTCATATGTTTGATAAAAGTGAAATGGCGAAGATGCTATCAGCAGTAAAAATTCAAAACGACTCGTCAACCCCATTTCAAATACATAGGGGGTTAAGGCAGGGAGATGCGCTGGCGTGTCAGCTTTTTAATGTCGCCTTAGAAAAAGTTGTACGAGACGCTAATTTAGATAGCAGGGGAACAATATTTAATAGATCAGTCCAAATTCTAGCATATGCAGATGACGTGGACATTATAACAAGAACTAGGGCGAGAACTGCGGAAATCCTAACCAAGCTAGTAGCAGCAGCAGAACGAATGAGGTTACATATAAATAAAAATAAAACCAAATTCATGGCGACTAACACAAACACAAGAGCTGGAAATGTTGACACAAATTTAATCATCAATGACCAAAACTTCGAAGCAGTCAATGAGTTCATATATCTAGGGACATCGGTTAACCCCAATAATAATACATCTGAGGAAATAAAAAGGCGAATAATAATTGCAAACAGGTGTTATTATGGTCTATCAAAGTACTTAGCTAACAAACGTCTATCTCAAAAAACTCGTGTAAGGCTGTATAGAACACTGATAGTCCCCGTTCTCACATACGGATCAGAGGCATGGACGGTAACGAAAACAGATGAATCCGCTCTATCCATTTTTGAAAAAAAGGTGCTACGCAAGATATTTGGAGCGGTCTGTGAGAATGGAATATGGAGGCGTAGATATAACTTCGAACTGCAGAATATCTACAAGCATACGTTTGGCGGTAAAGATATTACCACTAATATTAAGCGAAACCGCCTGCAGTGGGCAGGACATGTAGCCCGGGCCCCTGAATCGAACATGATAAAAAAGATTCTAACAGCGCAACCTGTGGGAATGAGACGACGGGGTAGACCAAAGCTGAGGTGGATGGATGGGGTAACACAAGATGCGGAGAAGATCGGAATCGGCAACTGGAAAATTCAAGCAAGGACAGAACAAAATGGCGTAGAAAGCTTGAGAAGGTCGAGGCCCTCTAAGGGCTGTAGCACCATGATGATGATGATGAAGACTTAAGAAAGGAAACAACAAAAACCATAAGAAATCCACAAACGCTCACAAAACGGATTGAATTCCATACCACAAGACATATGTAAAGGGCGATCATAAAAATTAAAAAGGATAGGAAGTTAGTAAATCACAACAACATTGTTTTGAATACACTGAGATTTATTCTGTCCAAAACCAAACCTAACAACTCACAAGAGAAATCAATTACCTGCATCTATAAAATACCCTGTGACTGCAACAATTTTTATGTGGGAGAAACGGCAAGACCAGTAAGTGTCAGGATAAACGAGCATGAAACATATCAAAAACAGAAACTTAGACAAATCACATAAGCAAACATACCTGGAACAATGAGTACAAAGTCCAAAGGAAAGATGCATCAATAGCCATGAAAGAAACATACGTAAAAAAAAGAAAAATCAAAGAAACAGCGCTCATCTTACTTAATGAAGAAACATGTGTGGCAAACCCATCAGCAGAATGTAGCAGGCTATGGTTGCCAATACTAAAAGAAAAAGAAATCAACATTAGTTGATTAATAGAAAGTCAGAAACACATAATCTACAATAACGTATAATACATATACAATACACAATAAATAAACATTTAATACATAAACACATAATACATATACACAAAAAAACAGAATTTGATATGACCTTGAAGATACAAACTCCATTCTCAGAATTTTAACTAAAAGCATTACTATTTGCCTACAAGATTGAAGCAAAGTAAGTCACCTGTCAATTTCAAAAACAATAACCGACAAACAACTATTGATTATAATAGCAGCTCACATTTAAAAAAAAAGAACATTTTTTAAAACGATTTCCAAAGTATTTCTTTTGTTAGCAAAATACATGTTCTAGTTACTTACAGTATATCCATAATAAACATATTTACCTCAAAATATATGAAGATAGAATAAACAAAAACAGAAACAAATAAGCAAGCATATTCACAACACGTGCTTTGGTGATACCTTCCCAGATACTTGTATGTAAATAAAAAGTCAAGATCAAAGTATACCCAAGTACAACTTGAGTTGGAAGGTTGTTATTAGTAGGTACGTGCATATTTTTAAAGTTGAACAGTTCCACTTCGTTTTGAGAAAGAGCTGCTCCACAGTATGCTAGACCTGTACCATAAAATCCTAAATACCATAGAGTATTAATCAGTCTATCACGTTCAAATTGTTTGAATTTCAATCTCTTGAATAGAGCCTAAAACCATGAAATAGATTAAATAGTCATAGATAATAATAACTGCTCTTAGAATGAAGTAGATAAAATGTATTTAATTCAAATTGTTTAAGATCCCACTGGATCATTACATTCATAACTTTGTTAATCAAATTAAAATTTTTACAACATTTAAAATTGGGAGAATACATTGACAATAGGGTGCCAGTCAAAAAGTGGCCGCAAATATGATTAATTTAATTATTAGTAATCCATTTTTGACAAAAACTTTATTTCATTCACTTATTTTTTAAATAACATACTCTGCTGATGACATATGCATGTCTATTATATCAAATTAAAGCTATTTTTTTAATATGATGATATTCGCTCCGTGCGTGACTGACGCGACACCTACCGCCTTCATCTGACAATTTTGGACCTCCCAATTTTCAGGTTAAACATATGACATATGTTTGACATTGTTAAATACATGCGAAATTGATAGTTATTAATAAATTAGTTTTTTAACTATATTTTTTCAGCTTATGTACAAAATAAATGTAGTATTAAAAACTGGGTGTCTCAAAAGTCATCATAATATATCTTTTCAACTCCAAACGGAAAAGAAAGGGAGAAATCTAGTACTGGCAAATCAAGTTTTTCACGCAAAAGAGCATATATTTAAAAACAATAATAGTAAAACTTATGATATAAAAGCTAAAGTCATCTGCAGTTAGCTTGAAGCCTTATGAAATATCATTCAAGGTAAATTATTTAAATTTTTCCTATTTCAATTGCATAAAAATGAAATTATGTGATATTTACTTTTCCATATTAATAGCACGAATTCATCTTTTTCTTTTCTCTAATGAAATCTTTGGGAACCTATAAAAACTACACTCACTGTTTTTGCTATTATTAGCACAATTAAATACGCAACATGTATTTGTACACATTTTTGATAAAATTTATGCGTAAAAATATTTGGTCCAATATTCCAATTTTGTCATATTTTGCCGCTACGCACGCTGGCATCGTTTCAATGTACCCCTACCATGGTCACGCACGGAGCGAATACGTTTACTTAAAAAAAATGGTCGAAAATTAGGGTTACCAGCTGTTTGGAAAAGTGTTCAAGACTGATTTAAATATTTTATTTTTATTATTCCGAATATGACCTTATTTAGTTTTAAATGTTTTATTTAATTATAATATAGTAGCTAATTATAATATGGCTTTAGTTCCACATCTTTTAAATTCTCGAACTCAAATTGGCTGATTTATTATTGTCAAGATCTGAGAATTCACTTGTCTGAAAAACAACATGTTTTTGGGAAACTATTTATCAACCCAAAACCCTTCACAGTCCTTAAGGAAATGTACCCGTCCTTTGTAGAAAGTGTAAAATGACATTTTAAGCTTAATTTATTGCTATTCACAGAGGTTCTAAAAACAAATGAACCACCCTAGTCGACTTTCGTACATACGTATCTTTTTTTGTATGATCGGTTACTCTGCAACAACTTCTTGTCGTGAAAGCAAGCATCAAAACAGCATCAAGTGTGCTTCTCGATTATTCTTAGACTCTGCCCCAGCCACAGAAAAAAAGGTAAGTGAATCTCATATAGAATTGACAATAAGATATTAAATCTGCCAATTGTTATTTGAATTACATTTTATTTTACATATTCATTTACACATATATTGCAATTTTCGTTATTTTAAATTAAATATTAACCAGCGACCTCATTAAGTTTTATACAAAACATTTGGTCACTTCGAGACGAACGATAAATAATTATAACTTTGATTCAGTTAACTTTATTTTGTTTCTTTTCAATTTAACTTTGATTCGGTTCTTCCGCTTTAATGAATCTTCTAAAGTTGAGATTCACTGATTCTGCGATGCTTCAGAGTTAGGATACGTCAGCGTTGTATATTTTCGATTTAGTACTTCTAACACATTTAAAACTGTACTTGTGTGTGCTAAATGTCGAGTGTCCACTTTAAAGGAGGTAAGACTGGAACTATTGGCAGCTCTATTAATGGCGGATCTAGTCGCCTTTATTAAAGAGTCGTTTAAGCATATCTTTTCCTTTTCTGATATTTATGTTTGGTCGGATTCCAGGATTGCTCTTACTTGGGTTAATTCTACTCCCCATAAATGGAAAACCTTTATTGCCAATCGGGTAAGATACAAACAAGAACTTATACCATGTTCTTCTTGGCATTATGAGCCATCTAATCAAAACCCTGCTGATTGTGCTAGTCGTTGTTTGACACCGGCACAACTACTACAATTTTCACTCTGGTGGCGCGGTCCTGATTTTCTTTCGAAGTCAAGGGAGTGTTGGCCCTCTCAAATTAATTTTCACTTCTCACACCCCACGGAAACGTTAAAAGAAAAATTGCCCACTGTATTATCATTGATACCGGTGATTAAGGATAATATTATCTCTACTTTACTTCAGTTAAAATTTTCATCAATTCAGAAAGTCATGGTTTACGTCTTAAAATTTGTGGTTAAACTTCAAAGAAAAAAACAATTCTGCCTCTTCAGATTCCCTGGACAGTCATTTAGAGATGGAATCTGCGTTACGATACATTGTTAAGCACGTACAAGGTGGCCTTTTTTTCGGATATTTCTGTCAAAATTCAACAAAATTATATGTTATCCAAACATTTTCGTAATCTCGCACCCTTTATTGATACATATGGTCTTTTGAGAGTAGAAGGTCAATTACAAAAGTCTTAGTTGTCTTTTGATGTAAAACATCCATTGCTATTACTCAAAACTCATCGTATCTAAAAATAGAGTACTTCAGAATCCTTAGAGATAGTGGTATACTGACGTCTGTTATTACTACTTTTCTAATATGTTAAACAGAACTAAGGGCTTGCTTGCTTTTCTCTATAATTACTTGCGTTTTCAGTTTTCATTAACCATTATTCTCAGATATTTATAAGAACATAGGAAACTTTTGCTCGTATATTTAATATAATTCTACATCAACATTGTATACAGTGCGTTAAGTTTTTGATTAGGTATTGCACACTATACGGAGCGCTAAAATCGGCAACGTTGCAAATGTTCGTTCTCCGACCCAAAAATCTACATCGACAGAAAATCATTTATTTTAGTTTAGTAACTCACAACAACGTTAGGGATGTACTTCTCTGTCGTCCGATCTCATGTTTCATTACGTAAAGCCGATTTTAATAGTAGGAAATTCGATACAAATGCACTGACCTAATTGGTGCATTGTTATCGATTTTTATTGTGAAAATTTTTTTGTGGTTGAATTAAAAATAAAAGCGTATTTCTTTAAAAAATAATTCTTTATGACCTACAGAAATGGTTCAAATAGTTGACCTTCTACGGCTGAACAGTACCCCAATCTGTCATAAAAACTTTTGCGAACAGATGAAAGAGTTTCTGCTGTAACAGAATTGGAGACTTCTCTTATTCGATTTTTTAATTCATCCAAATTTTGGGCTCTAGCCTCAGGATGAGCGTAGATAATGCTTTTTAAATGTCCCCAAAAAAAGAAGTCCATGGGTGTAAGATCTGGAGATCGCGCAGACCACTTAATATCGCCTGTTCCACTGATAACTCGATTCGGGAAAGTATTGTTTAAATACTCCCTAATAATTCGAGCGTTGTCAACTGAACAGCCGTCTTGATGAAACCAAACATTCTCCAGATTTACACCAGGAAGATTGAGAATAGCGGGAAGAACATGATTCTGTAACAAATCGAGGTATACTCTACTATTCAAGTTGCCCTCAATAAAAAATGGACCTATTATGTGGTCTCCTAAAATGCCAGTCCAGACGTTAACTTTTTGAGGACGTTGAGTTGAGTAAATAACACTTGGGCGCTGGTTTTCCAGCGCCCAATACCTCGTAATGGAAGGATTGTGTCTCCCTACTAACGAAACAGAAGATTCATCAGTGAATAAAATGTTTTTAATAAAATTTTATTAAATTGCTTGCAGATTGTTGCACAAATTTGTGTATCCCGGTATTCTCTTTCCTCAACTTTTTCTGGTAACACTTCTCGAGCGTGACATTTTCTGCAATTTTTGAGGCAATAACAACTCTCAAAATTTTTAACAATATTATAAATTGACTGTACACAAGGAATTGGTCTTCCCTCAAAAAACACAGAAAATAAATCTACACACTGTTGCGCAGAATTGCCACCATAAAACCATTTTATTATTTGAGCTTTTTCCGCGGCCATATAAACAGACATGCTTACAAAAATAAATTAAAACTCTACGCTGTTATACCTTTAAACAACCACGGTATAATGACAATATGACAAATTTGCCGACGGGCGACGAGCAACGACGAGTCAATGAAGCAGATATGTAGTGCAAGTCAACGACGCGCAGTGTTGCCATTTATAGAGTGTATACCTAATCCAAAACTTAACGCACTGTATATAAATCACCCAATTGTGTTTCTCCAATTTAGTTTTTTTTACACATAGAAAAAACTCCTAATTCTCCATCTTCAAAATTCTTCTCACTTCTTGGGATATTTCTATTTTATTCCAGTTGCATGGGCTACATGTTCTTAAAATTCAATTGACTCAATAACTGGTTCCTTAATCTATGCTTCATGCTGCATAAATTGAATCACATTAGAAATAACTTTCCTTATTTTTCAATTTAAATTCTTATTTGAAAGTTTAGAAACAAATTCCATATCTTATTTCACACTGTAGGTATTAATAATGCTACTAACAAAATAACAATTACGACTCTGGAAATTTCACCCACATAGCTCTGCTGTTTAGTGTTACATGGTATCTAGGAAGCTTTGTCCCGCTCCTATTTACAGCACATCTTTGCATCTAGGAATTCCAAAAAAACTCAGAAGCACATATTATATATAGAATATAATGGTCAACCTTTAAAATTATTTTATTAATTCTTTTTCAGCTTCTAGCCATTTTTAAAAAAACAAGTCTTGAAAAATTAAACAATTTACAATATCTTTTAATACAATGGGAAATCAACGCAAATGAAAAATTCTTCCCATTATTATTAACATACTTGTCCTAAAGCTTATTAAAAACACTACAAACTTACATTAAGACACTTATTAAAGCCCATATGTAGAATCCACCAGAAAGCAAATACCCATGTTGCTCCATTACATAAAGCATTATTGTAATAATCTCCTAGACACTTACTTAATATACTTGGTATACATGTTAATTCTGTTTTCAGGAAAACATTTAGATATGACATTCTGTGACCACTAAAAATCAAAATGTTTATTAAATATTATTAATAATAATACTCTTCCAGTAAAATAACATGTTTTTGTTGCTGTAGTAGTATTTTTCTGTAAAGGTTAGAAAAGAACGCATTTTTTTCTATGGAGATAACAATGTGTGATGAAAAACATAAGCAACAGATTGTGAAATTTCTCGTTAAATAAAAAAAAAACACTGAGTGCCATCATTTGTTGAAAGAGGCCTATGGTGAGAATTTTCTATCTCATGCGCGTCTTTTCTAATGGTATAAACGGTATTCTGAAGGCTGAGAGAGCGCCGAAGATGACCAACATCCTGGTCGACTTGTCCTTGTTTCAACAACAGTGACCAAAATAATTGAAACTGTGCGCGGAGATCCTCGTATGAGCATTCAGATGATTGCTGACACTGTAAACGCCGATAAAGAAACTGTCAGAAAACATGGACGTATAAATAAAGAAGGACCGGGCTATTTACATCTGTATTTGAAGCCATGAGATCGTCACAGTCATAGACACAATTGACGTTGTCATATTATTTTTTTTCCAAGCGAATCTTCGAAATAATTTTCGATTTTTAGTATAATTTAATTTTAATTTATAGATAAAAATGTATTATTTAGTTAGTATAAACTATTTTTAGATATACTCATTTCGAAACCAAGGAATTAAAAGAAAAACATTAATTTTTTAATTTATTAAAAGAAAATATATTCTGATAATGTTAACTTTATGTAAAACTTGGCATTATTAGTAATATTAACCAATCGTAGTGATTTGAGGAAAAGGAATATGGCGTTGTACTGTTTACCTTTGAGTTGATATTTTCCTTTTTTGTGACATTTTAGTGAATTTGTTAATATTTTCATCCAGAACTGTCATTTCGTTCGTAAGTAAACATTGGAATTACGTCCATGAGCGTAGTACAGGGATGTGATATTACTTAATTCTTGACATGAATTGAAATTAAATTTTGTGAAATAAAGTAAATTTTGTCGTATTATAAATACATTTATTTATTTTTTCTAATCTACACTATAATTGCTATAAATATATTAATTTCAAAGAAATATCATATGCAGGTTCCCAGTAAAGAATCAACAGCTGCTAGATATGTGGTTGTCTATGTTCGGCTTAAATAAAGAACAAGTAACCAAAACTGCTATGGTCTGCTCAGAACACTTTAGATCTAATCATGATCTAATTATGCAACCAAGTGGACGGGTTAATATGAGGAAAGGAACTGTTCCAATAAATATTTATCATAAATCATCAGAACTAGGGTAACTATAACGAATTTCTGTGTAATTTACTATACAGAGTATAATAAATATAATGCACACGCATAGCATGTTAATTCAATGTTTCAGTTCTACAAACGATATGGAAAATAAAGAAACAACTTCCAGTAGGATTGATATGGATAATTTTTATGGACTGTCAAAAAGGTGAGTTTGGATCGAATTTGTTAATTAAATTTACAAATAAATCTAAATGTGGATTTTAATTACTTATTTCATTTTAATATTAAAATTACTCACAGTATTTTAGGAGTTTCATTGATACTGAAAAATGTAATATGGAGACAGACTTGGGCCTTAATGTAAAATCTAATTCTCTTAAAAAGGAGGTGAGTTTTGGATAAATTTTGTATAAGATTATTTCAATCTTAAACCAATTTTAATATTTTTCTTTAATGTACATAAATTGATTATTCTAGATGTTTAAATGACAATGAAGAAAACAAGGAAAGTATAGATATAGAAAATGCACCTTCGAGCACCATTACAGCATCAGAAACTGAAACTGTAGAGTTGTTACTTGGTGATAATACTTTTCATATGTTCCACGTAATATTTATAAAAAGTGAGTTCTTAGTTTAATTTATAAAAACAAGTATTATAAATATGAAAACCAAATTATATGTTTCAGAAATAAAACCATTGAAGACATGTCTAGCAGCGATTTTTCAACACCTGAAAGGATCCAAAAAACATTTCAGAGTGTTAAAAAATACTGTTAAGAGTCAAAAAAGTAAAATAAAGTATTTACAACAATATGTAAGAAGAATGAAAACAAAAATTACATCCTATCTAAAATGATTAAAGATTTATAAGAGCCCGACTTATGTCCTTTCTTGTTGAAATGAACATTTTATCACGAAGTCAGTTCAGCTTTTTATCTAATAAATGTACCAGTGATGCTATGTTTTCTGTACTACATGAGGTCTATTAAGCACTAAACAATAATCTTTAGGCTGCCACTGTTTTTTTGAGACTATGCTAAATCTTTTGATTGTGTAATTCACGACATTTTGATAAAAAAACTAAATTTCTACGGAATTCGAGGTATTTCTTTGAATTGGTTCCAATCTTGCTTGAGAAATAGGAAACAAGCAGTTAGAGCAAATAATACTGACTCTAGACACAAAAGCATGTATGTAGAGTACCGCAATATTGAGTACTGGGTCCTCTACTTTTTCTTATATTTAGCTTTTCATGCAAATAAAACTTCTGATCAACTTAAAATAAAAACCTGGTCCGACTATAATTTACTTGCTTTTAATATGAATAAGACAGTAGCATTATCCTATAAAGGAGCTCTTCAACCCTTGCTTCTAAATAACAGCCAGATCAGTATCGTTGTTTCTTTAAAATTTCATGGTATTTTTACAGACAGCAACCTTAAATGGCTCCTTTATATCGATTTGTTAAGTAAGAAACTAATCTCAGCCAGCTATGCAATACGATCTGTTTCGAAGCTGAATTTAGCATCTTCCAAAATAACATATTTTTCTGTTCGAGTCTCATCTTCGATATGGTCTTCCTTTTTGCGGTTCTAGTACAGCTACCCAATATAATGTTATTTTTAAATTACAAAAAAGAGCAACACGGTATCTTTTTGGCCTCAGTAAAATAATAATTATACAATTAATTCCCTTTGTAACTTAAATCTACAACTTCTTTCCTTAAGTTCTGTAAATTAACAAAAGCCTATCTATCTGAAAGACCATATTATTCAGTGGAAGAGTTTCTTAACGAGAAATTAAGAAATTACAGTACATTTAGGTACAAGCAACTAAAGTATTATATATTTGGGTATCAAATGCAGCAACTAAAACTTATTCGTAAACTCCTAAGATTTTATTATGCAATTTGCAATTTAGTTAGATTTTGCAATGAATTGTAAATTTTATTATCTTTTATTATATGACATTGACCATTTTTGTAATTTTAGTAAATTTTAATTGTTATTGTTATTTTTTTTTACTTTTTGTAAGTTTTGTTCATAAAATTGTACAATTTTCAGTGACAATAAAGCATATTTCTATTTTAGAAACCTACCCCATCCATAAGGTTTAATGTGTTTATATATTGTTGTATATGTGGTTTGTTGTTCATGTTTTGTTAAACAATAGTTTATGTTTTCTTACATTTATTAATATTTTCTTAAATACATATTCCTGAACTTCTAATGTTGCCAAATAACAATTAATCTGAAGTTATAAACCATAAGTCACTACATTTTTTGAACGTATCATTCACTGGATAAGAGAAGAACTACTCAATACCCTGAACAGGTTAATGTATGGGGAAGAATTTTTTAAACTTTTTGCTTGTGTATTATTTTAGTTTAAATAAAATATTATATAAAGTACTTTGCGATTTTATTTACTCCATCTTTATTCTTTTGTATAAATCAATTTTTATAAATATATTTATTTCTATACACTGAAAATTAAAATTATTCATCTTTCGTTGTTTCTCACTTATTAGAAATATTTTATATGTTTACGATACTAAAAATAAAAGCAATCAAACGAATAGTCATTATTTATTGAAATGAAAAAACTGTTTCAAATACCTTTCAATTATTGGAAGGTACGCCAATGACTTAAAAGGAAATGTCACAGTCTATCACCTCGCCTCTTTCCCAACGCCTATAAACTTTTCGACTTCAAATTTAGGCGAACAGAGTGCATGGCATGCCCAGTCCATCTTTATTTATATGTCCATGGTCAGAAAAATTTTACATGACGAATTGAACATGAAGAAATTCAGTGCGAAGTTGGTCCCAAAAAATTTGACCCCTGACCAAAAGCTTGTCCGTCAACAGATCTGCTCAGATTTTCTTGAGAGGTTACATGAAGAGCCTGAATTAATGGAAAACATCATCAGTTGCGATGAAACCTGGATATTCAAATACGATGTTGAAACTAAGCGACAATCTATGTACTGGAAAACTCCTGCATCGCCAAGAATGAAAAAAGCAAGGATGTCGAAATCAAAATTTAAAGCCATGCTAATGGTATTTTATTTATTTTTTTCATTAACGGCAGCGTAATGACTGAATGGGTTCCAGAGGGTCAAACTGTAAACCAAATTTACTATTTGAAGGTTTTGACAACGCTGCAAGAGTGAGTTCGTAAGAAACGGCCGGAGTTGTGGAAAAACAAGCCATGGATTTTGCACCAGGACAACGCACCTGCCCATAACATGCTGCCTGTAAAGTATTATTTATCCCGCTACAGGCATTCCCGTGCTCGAACACCCGCCATAATAGCCTAATTTAGCACCCTGTGACTTTTTCCTGTTTCCGAAGATCAAGTCTGCTTTAAAAGGAATCTGGTTCGAGTTGATGGACGAGGTGAAGCAAAAAAATGCAGAGCTCCTAAAAGCTTTAACAAAAGAAGACTTCAGCATGCTTTGACCAATGGAAAAAACGAATGGAACTGTGTGTGGCGAGGGAAGGGGAATATACTGAAGGAGAGCATTCAATTGTAGAGTAATTTTTAAAATAAAACTCTTTTTCATAAGCAGTCGCGTTATTTAATAGCCAGACCTCGTATCTATACAATATTGAGTTTGCATGGGTTTTAGTCAATAAAAGGGCTGCTAGAAGACTATTTTTTATTACTTTCTTCTTTACATTCTTTTTCAAGAGCTACAAGAAAAAATAAACCATAGATACCATAAACTTTAATTCATGTATTGTGAGTATATTGCCAAAACAGAAAATTTGCAAGTTTTGAAAAAAAAAAACTTAAAATATGTGTGGAAAAACTTATCACATTAGTGAAAAATTGCTTAAAGTGCACATTACCAGCTTTGGCATTGAATTGTTAAACCGTAGATACCATAAACTTTAATTCATGTATTGTGAGTATATTGCCAAAACAGAAAATTTGCAAGTTTTGAAAAAAAAAAACTTAAAATATGTGTGGAAAAACTTATCACATTAGTGAAAAATTGCTTAAAGTGCACATTACCAGCTTTGGCATTGAATTGTTAATGTGACAAAAACTATGCTAAACATTTATGCTTACCTTCTAAAAAGCACCAAAAATAAATGTAAATCAGAGTAAGTATTAGGATATGCCTAGGACTTTATATAAAATTCAAACTCAAAATATAGTAATTGCAGTTCTAACATTCTTTAAAATCAAGAAATAAGGAAGTTTTTAAATTACAACAAAAAAATTATTGTGTAAAATGTAAAAGACTATTAAGTAGAATGTGGATAAGAAACCATGGTACAATATTCATTGTACCATGATAAGAAACCAAGAACACTACATAACATAAAATGTTTACTTCTTGTACCAAGTAGCAGTATATTCAATTTTGCGGCAGAAACTATTAATTTCTAGCATAATTGTATTATATATATCTCTAATCTAATATAATCTTCCTCCTTCAAATTGTGAAAATTTTTAAATGAATCCAAGAACACTTTGCAACAACAAATCTTCAGTTGCATAGTAACAATTTGTATTGATCAAATCAAACTTTCAATTGTTAAATGTTTTTCTAGAAATACTAGATCTTCTTTTTTTTTTTTTTTTAAATTTTTAAAAGTGAAACTGGAACAAACCATGAAGTGGAGATATCCAGGAGTGGCTAGTATACCTGTTGAATAAAAAGCATGTGGTGTTCGTGTGTATTAAGGTATAAAAACGCTTATTAAAAGCTTAAAATTTTTTTATTATAAAGAAGATCTTTTCGGAATTGTATCATTCCATCATCAGTTTAATAAAAAAGGTTGTTAAAAAACATTGTGTGGCCACATAAAAAACGTTCGGTGGACATCTGGATTTAAAAAATAATATTCTTCGTGTTATTTATTCAGGTAAATGCAATAGACTCTTGACTTGTGTAATATAAAAAATGAAACTGGGAGCATAAGTCAATAGAACTTCACCAACTACAGGGGGTCATATAAGATGCCCCCAGTTTCATTTTTTATATTACACAAGTCAAGAGTCTATTGCATTTACCTGAATAAATAACACGAAGAATATTATTTTTTAAATCCAGATGTCCACCGAACGTTTTTTATGTGGCCACACAATGTTTTTTAACAACCTTTTTTATTAAACTGATGATGGAATGATACAATTCCGAAAAGATCTTTATAATAAAAAAATTTTAAGCTTTTAATAAGCGTTTTTATACCTTAATACACACGAACACCACGTGCTTTGCACTAGATCTTCTAATATTGGAATCAAGATCATAAAAGCAAATAAATATTGGGTAAGTATACTTACTGAGATGTTGATGGTTGGTCTTCTCGTTTATTTATAAACATTCTAATTCAATGACGTAACAATTATATCTCTAATTGTTGTACGATTCTGGTTTTAGTTATGTTATTTGATTTCATGATGAGGTTTTTTTAAGGATATAACAAGTTTTATAGAGTTTATACCACAATATGCAAATTAGAAAAAAAACAAACAATTATTACTTAAATGTCATAATATTTATTGGGTTATGGTCATAATCTACAGAACAACAGCAACCACCTGAATAAACTTATTATTTTGATAAATAACACCGAATTTCAGCGTTTATAAATAATTAAAACAATGAAAGTAATCCATTTAAACATTAATTAAGTATATTATATTTAAGGCTTTTTGAATTGCACCCGTATCTGTTGCAATATATAAAATATTTACTTTTACTTTCATTATTAGTTCAAATGTCACTGACAGATCGTTAAAAGCAGAGAAGAGTAGTAATGGTGTCAAAAAGGGGTGTTTATATTTTTTGATAAACATAAAATAGGGTTTAATAAATATATAATGGATCATTCACCCCCTATTAAACCTCCCAGGGGAGTAAAACCCGGAAAAGAAACGGTAAATATAACAATTTCTTAAATTCAGTGTTTTAGGTTATATACACCTACTTTTGAATTTTTAGAGTGGGCTTCTTATGTCTGTAATCCGTACATTATCTGCAAGTGAAACTAACGAACAAAGAGATAGAGAAAAAGCAAAATTAGAAAATGATTATAAACTATGTGACCAGAAGTTGGACGAACTTGTTTCCAAACATGAAAATGATCTAACCAAGGTAAGTGCTGCTTCTTGGGATATTGGGGAACATTTAAGTTACGAGTACTTTATTTTGCTCTTCTAGCTTGCAATATCTTATTTAAGATAACTATTTCAATTCTCATTAATTGATTTTTCATACAAAAGTTCTCAATTATATTCGATCTCATTTGAGATTAACATGTTTTTTACCATAGGTAATGCAGTTGTTTGGGTCTATATCACAGATTGTAACCACAAACAGAGAAAAAATAAGAAGGGTTCAAGAAAACCTTCAAGATTGTAAAAGAAAGTTAGGCTGCAGAAGAGATGAACTTAAAAATTTGTGGTTGGAAGGACTCGAGTACAAACATATGCTGCAGTTAATTGAAGAAGTGTAAGTTTATATGTTTTTATATTATAATTATACTTATTTTGGCTAAATTATACCTTGATAAGGTCATATAGAAATTCTTTTGGCCTGTTTTAATTCTAGATTGTAGATTTCAGAGGAGTCAATTGGCCTTATAGTAGTCTTTTGTATCCACCCTAGATTTATATTCAGCCCAAAATATCTAGGCTTCTAATAAAGCTCATTATCCATTTAGGAGAGATATTTATTACCTGGCCAGGCTCTAAAAAGATCTGTTTTTTAGAGGTTTTATTTACCTAGGTACTTATGGTGTTGGAAAATGATTGGTCTACTGTTCATCATCATCATCCAGCCTTCATTTACTCTATCCACTCTTTCTGATTTTGTGCTCTTTGTTGCCAATTTTTGGTGATAAGCCTGATGTCAGCCCAAAGTTGTCTTCCTCTACTATGTTTGTCTGCTCTTGGCCTACAATTTGTAATTTTGCTCATCCACCATGAGTCATGTATTCTCACTACATGGCCTGCCCAGTTCTATTTCAGTTCTGCTATGCATTCCACAACATTAGCAATACTCATCCTTCTTCACAGATATTTGTTTCTTATTGGGTCCCACAATGCCACTCCCAGTGTAGACAGTTCTATTCATCTAGGATAGGCCTACTGTTGCTGTAGGTAATATATTTATGTGTTTCCTTTGCATTTTTGTAGAATCTACATGTTACTCTATCCACTTTGCCCATTTTACAGAGATTGTATCTGGGTGATCAAGGGCCCGCGTAGCGCAAGCGGTAGTGTGCTTGCCTCGCATGCCGGTGGTCGTGAGTTCGAATCCTACCGCCGGCAAGAACAACTAGGCATTTTTAAAATGTCTATAGGCCCCAGGTCGACTCAGCCTGAATAAAATGAGTACCTTGGGTAAAACCAGGGGTAATAATAGGCGGTTGAAGCGTAGCACTGGCCATGTTACCTTCCTTGTATACCGTAGGCCCTAGATATAGCAGACTACCCTGCTATACTCCCAAAGCCGCGTGCGGTATAAAACGGGAGACTATTATTATTATAGTATCTGGGTGATCAATGTCCAATGAGAACACCTGTGATTACTCTGAGTTAGTTAAGTCTTCTGGAGTCACAAGAGTATTTTTGAGTAGCAAGTGGAACAGTATAATATTCTTTTTACCTTTTACCTGTAATAACCTTTTTACTTGTGTTTCGTATGGAATATTTTCCTAGCTAGCTATATTACTTTCTCTTTCCCATTTTCGGATATCCTCAATTATGCATAGGTTTTTGATACACCTCAGAATGGCTGTGATCTGACATAGGGAGTATGTGCTTCTTCTTTCGCAAGACTATCAGCAATTTCATTACCAAAAATTCTTTTATGCAGTGGAATCCATAGTAAAGTTACTTTGTTGTGCCCTGCCAGTAGCTTAACCTATTAACTGCAACAACTTGGTTCCCACATACTTTACAAGATTCATTTTATAGGTCTAATATTCCACTGGCATATTCACATCTTATTATAGGTGGCAGTCAAAAGGAACTGTTTGTAGTTCCAAGCTACATAGTACACAGTTCTAAGTTATATGACATATAGATGTAAGTTCTTTTCATCTGTTTTAAGTAGTATATCCACATGCAAACCACTAGAGATATTTCTTCTTGATTAAAACTAGTTGTTCCAAGGAAGATAATACTGTTTTCCACGATATTTTGCAGGCCTAATTATCATTTTCTGATGTTTTATAGAATTTCTATTTACAGTAGTGTGAGTTTTCACTAAACAGTTGAAGATTAAGATAAATTGAATGTCAAAATATTCAATTTCTTAAAAATTTATTGGCATTTTCTATAATTTTATATTATTTTGCCATTCACAATTGTATAAAGGACTTTTTATTTTTTTAGTCAAAAAATGAATGAAGTACCAAACAGACTCTCAGCATATATGGCTAGGAAACAGTACTTACATGCTACTAACCTACTAGTAGAAGCAGTTAATCTTGGAAAAGGAACCTTGGAAGGCGTGGAAAGTTTGAAAGAACTTGGACAAGAGTTGGAACAGAAAAAAGAGGTAAGTGATTCAAGAATCATGAGAATTATTAAATAGTTATAGAAACACTACAAATAAATATTTTTTTAAAAATTGGCAATTTTTGATGTTTTTATTTATAAGGAATTTTACTTCAACATTTTATTGCACTATTTCGTTACTTAATATTCCTTGTTTTTTAGCAATTGCATCTTCAGCTGCTCTCAGAGCTAAAACAGCACCTTTATGTCAAACCTGCCCAACATATTCTAGCTTTAAGAAGGCAAAATTCAGCTCAGGATGGATTTTTCTCAAATTCACCTTTGCAAAGAAGCATAGAACTTAGAAGATCTGGTAGAAAGAAGTCTTCAATATCAAAAAATTTGTTCAATAATGATACTTCTAGGTATGGATTGTTCTATTCTTTAAAATTCTATAGAGCATGAAACATGTTCAATATTGTAGAGCGTGTTTAAAATAATTTTAGCTCAGAATTGTTATTAATTTGTATCATATATTGTTTAACAAGTAACAAAGAGATATCACAAACTCAAAGAAATCTTTTTACTGTTCTGTAAACCTGTTGAATCATCAAGGTTTCTGGACCATAACGAATAATGAGCTTTATAATACCGAATAATATCTTTTGCTAATTGCTTGCAACTTTGGAAAGTAATAATATTAGGGGGTCTCTATGTTGATAAAAAGTGATCTCGAAATTATCACATTTAGTTTTTACATCACACACTTCTATTTCTTCACACATTTATTGTATTATGTATTAGAGTTGCAACAACACTGCAAGATCATCTCTATCTTTTCTAATTAAAAAATTAAGTCCCAAAAATTATATTCTTTATTTTTGTTAAACAACAATTGCATAAAAGTTTTAATTTTTCAAAAAGTATATGTCCTACTCTCATCGAATGCAGCCTAAATTGTCATCGTTTATGTTTTCAATACAGATCCAAATGTTTTTAAAGTGATACTTAACTGAATTTCAATTGAATTTTTAAAATGGGTTGCACATGTAAGTCCATTTCAACAAGGCTAAAGCAAGAAATATTACGCTTATTCACAATCAGTTTGTTGTACCTTGGATGACTTGGTATTTTAGTATTGGAGCTTCCAGCTCCAGGCGTTTTTAGGGAACTTCTTAAGTTTTTTCTTTAGCAGCTTTCTTATGGATGTGATCAGATGATCAGAAGAAACCACCAAATTTACGAAGGCGTCTTCATTTGTTGCTTCCTGGTTTATTGGTTCATTTTTCTCTAAAAGGAATGTCTATAAGATCTCAAGTAATTATGCTTTGCCCCTAGAGCCTCTTCGCCCATTTGAATGATTGTCGAGGTCATTGGGCACCACAGATAAAAAAAAATCATAAAGTTCGGCTGTTTTTGGTGTCAATTCAATTTTGATGTTATGATCAATGGATACAGTTCTTAGAATGCAGTGAAAGAATCTCTGCTGAGCGTTAACTGTTTGAGAAAAATTTATATGTAAGCTGGAGTAAAATATCTATCAATCTGATTCATCCACTTCTTCTAAATGTGCCTATCTTCTAGAGATGTTGGCGACCACATTGACCCATCTTATTCTATTCACAGCGGCTCGAAATAGATCAGTTGACGTTAGACCAGTCCACTTCCTAATAAGATTGGCCAGCCAGGATATACGTCTATGTCCAGGGCCTCTCTTACTCTCAATCTTACCTTGCAGAATCAACTGTAGAAGTCGGTATTTATCGTTACGCATGATGTGGCCGAAGTAAGCCAATTTTCTGATTTTTTACGATGTTAATAATTTCTTTGTCTTTTCTTAGCCTCTGGAGAATAGTTATGTTACTTGTGTGGTGACTATATATGAGACCCCAACATACGTCGGTAGCACCACATTTCAAATGTCTCTAATCGTTTTATGGCATCTTCTGTAAGGCTCCAACTTTCTACTCCATAGAGGAGGACACTAAAAATGTAACATCTAAGAATTCTTATGTGTGTATTGATACTTAAAGATAAGTTGCAGAGAATCTTCCCAAGGCTGTTAAAAGAGCTTCTGGCTTTTTCATCCATGGATCCATTAACAAAGAACAGAAATACCGAATTTGAGGAGGGGAGGTTGCATCTCTGTACTATACACTTTTACTGTACTGTATTGAATGTTTATGTATTTTGTGTTGTATATGTATACATATCATTGAAGATGAAGTTTGTATTAATCCACTAATGGTATATTTTTGTTACTGACTTCTTCTTTTAGTATTGGCAATCAGAGCCTGCATGTATGTTTCTTTCATGACTATTGATGCATCTTTCCCTTGGACTTTGTGCTTATTATCACAAGCATATTTGCATATCTGTGATTTGCTGAAGTCTCTGTTTCTGATGTACGTTTCATGCTCGTTTATCTGGACACTTAGTGATCTTTCTCTTTCTCCCACATAAAAAGTGTTGCATTCACCAAGTTTTTTTTATAGATGCAGTTCTCTTTGATTTATCTTGTCTGTTGTTAGCTTTGTTTTTGGACAGAATATATCTCACTGCATTGGTTGTTTTGAATGTTGTTGTGATGTTGTACTTATCCCTTACTTACCATTTTTATTCTTGTGAGCGTTTCTAGATTGCTTACGATGTTTTGTTGTTTCCTTTCTCCAATCTTGTGAAATTCCTTATTTATAAACGACAATGGGCAAGTAATGGGACAAGTAATAACGACATCATTTTCTGTTAAAATCTTTGTTAGCAGGTTCTTTTCTTCCTGAAATGCACTTTCAATAGAGCGGGTGTTATGGGCTCTGTCATATGATTTCATAATTCCCTTTTTGATGTTAAAGTTGTGGTTTGAGTAGTAATTTAAATATCTATTGGTGTGGGTTCGTTTTCTGTAAACTTTGATTGCAAATTGTGTACCCTCTTTTGTGATTAACACATCCAGAAAAGGAAATGAGTTTTTGTTTGCTTTTTCCGCGCTGAATTTGATTTATTCTTCTTTGCTGTTGATGTTCATCAGTTTATTCAATGCTTCTGGTCCATGAGACCAAACGGAGAACATTTAAAATATTCGTCGGAAGCCCTGTTGTTCTTGTTAAGTGCTGCAGTCTTTTTCTAAAAATTAATTGACAATAATTTTTAAGTGCTCTAAAATTTGAATGCGACGAGCGACTATGGCGCAAAGTTTACATCAAAGTAATACATTTTGACGTTCACATTTCAGTTCTGTCAACTGTACCTACTATAATTCAAGTATGTATATGCGTTGTTACTCTATTTTTTGTATCTCGATTTTAGCAATGAAAAGAAGTCTATATTCGGCGAAGATTTCCATGTTGAAGAAAAATTAGAAGTAGTAAACCCAGAAGAAAATCGTAGTAATTTTATTGCCATACTCGTTAAAAGTCTGTGTTTACTAGATAAGTTGCCATATGCTGTTAAGGTAAGTTATACTTAGATACTTAGATGCTTAGTAGGGATAATATAAATCTTTAAGTAACAATATTAATCATTGTGTTAATCATTCAGAATTAATAAGATTGCTCCAGGAACGTTCGATAGATGAGAATGACCTTAAAATCATAAAGAACCTTTATATGAATCAAGTGGCATCTGTGAGAGTAGGACTGGAATCAACATCATATTTCTTAATCGAAAAAGGTGTACGGCAGGGTTGTGTTCTGTCACCCCTCCTTTTTAATCTTTACTCTGAAACGATTTTCGATAGAGCCTTAAGTGACACTTAAGATGGAATCAAAATCAACGGACAGACTATTAGTAATCTTCGCTATGCTGATGATACAGTCATAATATCTGATAGCCAAGAAGCGCTACAACGACTAATATATAGAATAAACACTGACGGAGAATGAGTGGGCTTGAAGATTAATATAGACAAGGAGAACACAAAAAAGGTCCCCAAGTTCAGATATCTCGGTAGTTGGATAACTGAAGATCTAGATCCAGACATAGAGATATGTAGCAGGATTGAGCAAGCCAGAACAGCATTTACTAATATGAGAACCTTGCTAAGCAACAGCAGCCTCAACTTAATGCTTCGATATCGCTTTGTAAAATGTTAAATTTACTCCATACTGCTATATGGTGTAGAAACCTGGTCCATTAAGGCCAATGTGATGAACCGATTAGAAGCCTTTGAAATGTGGGTATTTAGAAGACTACTTAAAATTCCTTGGACAGATCACACAACAAATGTCGAAGTATTAAATAGAATGGGCAGAGAACGAGAATTGCTGCCAATAATAAAAAGAAGAAAAACTGCTTATCTGGGTCATATATTTCGAAATTCCAAGTACCAGTTCTTAAAGCTTATTATGGAAGGGAAGATAGAAGGAAAACGAGGCATCGGAAGAAAGAAATACTCATGGCTTAAAAACATAAGGGATTCGACAAATCTCGATGCCCATGCACTTTTTAGAGGCACACAAGATCGAGAGGAGTATTCCAGAATTGTCGCCAACATCCACTAATTGGATAGGGCACCATAAGAAGAAGTAACAATGTTATTTAATTTTAGTTAGACAATCTTATTAGTGCAAATTTAGTACATTTTTAAGACTCATTCTAGAAATTACTCTCTAGAGGTTGGCACTGATAACATGTATTTTTGTTTGTTTATCTTATATCTAATTGAACATTGTCCAAGCGATAAGACTGGAAATCCTGTTAATAATTTTCTACTTACAATATACTTTAACGACGATATTGGTGTTTTTGTAGATATATACACATTTATAGGTATTTATTTTGCTTCTAATGGCAAATGCTTTTGATTCTGACTAGGACTAGTAGATGTTAATAGAATATTTTCCTATGTACTGGTCATGGTTCACTTCCAATTGTTTACTTTTTCCCCAGAAATACTTTAAGAATTTCGTCTCATAATCAATCCACGAGACCAACGTACTTTCCTTGCTTTCGAACCACAGGGATGCTCCATCCGTTAAATAATAATTTCTCATAGCTTCCCCAAAATTTTCGGTGTGTTGCAATTTATTTTTAATGATGCAGTTTTCTTTTATCCCTGCCAAATTTGCACTTCTCGCTTTTCTCGTAAAACTTTTCCCAATTTCTTCCACTTTTTTCACGATTTTTTAATTTTCTTTTTTGTTTCTTCCTTATCTTCTTGCAAGGCTCTCTCGAGTTTACATTTCACTTTTTCTATTCCCTCTTGTAATTCTTTATGTGAATTCTCTACCACATTTTCTATTTGTTCTTGTAAATTTTCTATTTTCTTTCCTTGACTTTCTAGTTTTTCCTGTTTCTCTTAAACTACTGTAAAATTTTCCTCAATATCAGATACTTCTTCCACAATCACTTCTTCTTCTCTGTTATCATCTTTCTTTTCCTGAATTTTACTTTGTTTCCCTGTAATCGATGGAAGGTGTGCTAGGTTGAGGAATGCCTACTTTGAGACAGACTTTATATAATTATGATTTTAGAATGAGCAAATTCGAAATCACAAATGTTTGATTCAATTTCTCTCTTCTCTTGATTGATTCTTTTAAACTATCTTTTTTCTAGGAAGTAATGCAAGAAATGCTGCTCTCTCTAACACAAATTGTCGAAAGAACAACTAACAATATTAAAAACTTAGTAGATGTAGGTGACCAAAGACTAATTTTAAAAGAACTGGTACAAATTTTGTTTGAGCAATACAAAGAAGTAGCCGATTCGCATTATGTATTCATGACTTGCGTAGAACAGGCCAAGAAGGCACACAAACTGGAAATCAATTGTTATGACACTGTGTATTTCTGGTCGCAGGTTCAAGTTGTGGTAAGAATTGCCTTTTAAATCTTCAGGATTTTGGTTATTGATATAATAGCTATATAGTTTATTTTTCATTATGTTTTAGATGCAGTCATTTGTGTCGGACTATTTAGACATCCAGTATATGTCAAGTGATATGCAACTTAGTGATATGAATAATGTTAACGATATATCTTCATATTTTTCAAGAAGAAAACAGGCAACGTATGTTTCTCTTTAGTGTTTCTCATTCAAGTCTTTAGATCCATTTTTTCCCAGTTAATGTGCAAAGGCTACATATTTATCTATGAATACTTTTAGTTAAGAAATTTAATTGCATATCCTTATATTTGATTATTTTATTTTACTTTAGGAAGAAAAATGTACTTTTCAAATTCGAAGGCTCATCCAGTGCTCTAAGTTTAAGTAGTACATTGAAACAAGTCCAGAAGAGCAAGGTTTTTGTATGCCCCCCTCATCCAAATAATATTTTAGTACTGTTCATTCCATTCATGTGTTTTTTAGATGAACTAGATCAATCCCTAAACATCAAAAAGCAAGGGTAAGCTTTATATTTATATTATCCATTTTTAAAACACTATAGAAATATTAGTAATGATGTTAGGAGTGTGCTTTTATTAATGAACTGTTGGTTTTTAGGGAACCAAATTTGTATACATTTTTGACTGAGTATGTATCCAATGTGTATCTTAAACGAAAATCTGATGAAATATTAGATCAAATAGAGACTTGCATTCGAAAGTCAGATGCTTGGAAGGCTACCATTCTCTTAGATCTCACATCAGATTACAAGCCTTTATTAGTGGTAAGTTCACTTTTTCCATTTCGCTATATAAAGGGTGATAACTATCGACACATAGACTAGAATGAGCTTATTAGAACCAAAATATGGCTACTGAACCAAACATTAGTTAATAAAATGTTCTTCCTCTGCTTCTTTTCTCTATCACTACAACCTAGGGTGTGTCTTCGCTGACTTAACAATCTGCGTTCACTTGCGACTATTTATTGTAAAGAAGGGCGACAGTTTTCCTTCAAGTCTTTCATTTTTGTCACCCACCACATTTCGGCACGTTCACGCTGTATGGGTGCCTCCAAACGAGCAATATTTTTATTGCAATATATGGCTTCAACACAGTAGTTGTCAATATTGCCAACAATAATGGCCGGACTATGGAATATAGGAGAATGTTTTTAGTATGCCTAGGTCATATAGCCATTTTTGATATCGCCCGCATTTTTTTACCATAGTTGCCAGATGATCACTTTGCGAGCGAAAATACTTGCAATACCTATTTTTTTTATTTTATTGATAACAGCATCAGCCACTTTGGATTATTAGCTGTACTATAGTTAATACATTTGTACTTAAATCTAAACAGTATTTTTGATTAATTATTAGGTTCACGATTAGGTAAGAATGTCTTATTTTACAATTTGTAAATAGAGTATACAAAGAATTAATAGTTACAGTTTGTTTAAAATATCTTTCAAGTAATTAAACATATTTACAAATTTACAATGTGCTCCTAAGACTGCTTTTATATTAGGTATTAGGTAGTGAGTGTTTTTATCTTTCACTAATGTATTTAGGGCATTTTATTAAGATTATGTGTTACATTAAGGTCGCAGTTACATAACTCACAAATATGGCGATTTGATTTGGAGATTAGGTAGCTATGAGTTAGTCTGCTATGACCTATACGTAAACGGGTTAGGTTAACAAACAGTTGGCAATTTACATTTATCACGCGCTAAGATTCGGTTGAGGACTTTACGATGTGTAGAGTTGATTGTGAAAGATTCCATTCGTTTTTCCATTCATTTGTCACTTTTTCTTTAAGGAACGATTTGTAGTCGGAAAGACACACTAAGTTCACTAACACTGAAGAGGCACTGTGTATTGCTTCCCTGGCATGAAAATCTGCTTGTTTGTTTCCTTGAATCCACTGTGTGATGAAACATATATAAAGCGTACTTGCGGTTGACGGTTGACCAATATACGTGCAAAATTGCCTTCTTCTTCTTCTTCAAGTTCCACTCTTATCGGAGATTGGAAATCATTCTGGCAATTATAATTTTGTTGGTTACGCACCTGAATAGTTCAATTGAACTGCATCCAAACCATTCACGGATATTGCGTAGCCACGAGATTTTACGTCTTCCTACGCTTCTTCTACCTTTGATTTTACCCTGCATTATATTCCTTATTAGTTCGTATTTTTTACCTCTCATGATGTGGCCCAAGTATTCCAACTTCCTGATTTTTATGGAATTTAAAACTTCGCATTGTTTTCCTAGTTGTTCGAGAACTTGTTCGTTTGTTTTGCGATCCATCCATGATATTTTCAAAATACGTCGGTAACACCACATTTCGAATGCTTCTAGGTTTTTAATGTTGGATTTTTAAGTGTCCAAGCTTCAACCCCATACAAAAGGATAGAGAAAATATAACATCGAAGCATTCTTATCCGGAGCGATATATTGATATTGCGATTATAAAAAAGTTTTCTCATTCTATTAAAAGTTGACCGTGCAATTTCAATGCGGCATCTTATTTCTTTTCTCTGATCAGTATCTTCTGTGATCCATGCTCCAAGGTATTTGTACGAAGATATTTGTTCAATTTCTGTATTATCTAGTACTAGCTTAACTTTGATGTTTTGTGCTTTTGTAAATACCAAGAACTTGGTTTTCTTCAAATTTATTTTTAGTCCATAATCGTTGCAATATATATTTAGTTGTTCAGCAAGGTGTTGCAGTTCTTCTAGTGTTCCTGCCAGAAGGACGGTGTCGTCAGCATATCCAATGTTATTAAGTGGCTCACTGTTTATTAAAAGGCCCTCACTGATCTTGGCAAGCGCTAATTCTAAGATGGCTTCACTGTATAAATTGAATAACAAGGGTGATAAAATACACCCTTGGCGGACCCACGGCGAATCTGGATATCCTCGGTCAGTTCATTTTCAACTTTCACTTTTGCTGTTTGGTTCCAAATGTATATAGTTGTTCTTTTATTAAATTACCTATGGGATTACTTGTATATACCTGTTCTATCGTATGTAATGCACTGCGAGAATAGGTAATTATGATAGAGTTTGGAATTTTTTTGGGTACATACACTGCTCGTCACGAAAAAGAGGCCACCTAAAATTTTTGCCATTTTTTAATTTTTACGAATCATACCACAAAGTGATTGTAATTAGATGTTTGTGTAATGTGTAAGAATATGTTCTAAAGCAGTATGCAATCATTTTTTAAATAACAAATGTCAAAAAATAACTTCTTCCAAAATTATGATTTTATTGAAAAATAAAAAAAAATTAACATTGTACATTTTTTTTGTTTTCTTTATAAAATTACAATTAAGTCGTGATTATTAAGACTGTGTATTACCACCTCTATTACAAATTACACTCCTCATTCGATTTGGCATTGAATTAATCAAATTCTGGATGTCGTTTTGAGGAAAAGCTTCCACAATTTATTGGAGCAGGTATTCTGTTTCTTACTCTTCGTTTGAGTTGGACCCAAACATGTTCAATCGGGTTCAAATCTGGACTTTGAGCCGGCTAGTTCATTTTTGGCACACCTACAGTTTCCAGATATTGCGTTATCATCCTGGCTACGCGTGGCCGCGCGTTGTCTGCATAAAAATAAAGTTTTTGCCGACAAACCCAGCAAAAGGCATTACATGCTCGTCTAGAATTTTGGTAATGTATCGGTGTGCATTACCGAACCTCTTCCAAAATCAACACGTACACGTCGAACACAAGCAGCATATCGTTCCCCACGTCCTCTGTATGTTTTGATGCGACCATCTGAGCCATAAAGAACCATCTTGGACTCATCGCTAAACAACACATTTTTAGCAACACAAGCTGTCTGGCCACTTCTCTTTGACTCATTCCATTACCAATCAAAGTATAAATTTTAACAGATCTAGCCATTTTTCAGCCATAGTTTTTAATTTAAAAATTGCACAAGTTTACTCTTCGCACAACTGTGGACTAGTGAAAGGTTTTTGAAAAACAGAATAGCCATATTCCAAGAAAAATAACTTACAAACAACACGCACATTATCCGAAGTCTTAAAACTGATATCAATTCTGAAAACCTATTACCCTTAATTGACCTGTCGGCACCGTTTGTCGGTGCCTTAAAGACGTTAAAAGTATTTCTGCATTGTGGGAATTTAGTTACAATAGAATAAATTGTATAAACAAGTTATTGAAAAATTCTTACAAAATTCTAGGTGGCCTCTTTTTCGTGACGTGCAGTGTATATAAATGAGGGTTTGCAGAATTGAGTATAGTTTTCCAGAGTAAATACTGCAACTGGAAGATAATTTAAACTGTAATACAATGTTCGAAGCTATAACCGCTGATCCCACACCATCAATAGTTTTGGATGAATCTGTATAGATATGACAATGATCTGGGAAAGAAGCAAGTATGTTGTAAAATAATTGAATAATAATTGTTGTTTGAGGAGTCTCAAGCGTATTGTATTTAGAAATAGAAAAGGTCCAGGGGAGGCGTGGCTGTATTTGTCTGATCATAAAATTTGGGAATTGAATATAAAAAGGGATAAAAGGGAGGGTTCGCCATTTTTTATTTATATAAGTTTCTTTGAAACGTTCAGTGATAGTATGATGGAAAGTGAGATTCGATTTTATCGTAAATATGGATGATGCGTATGTTAATGACAAGTACATTCTTATAAAATTTAAAGGTAGATCCCCGGTTACACATTGTAGACTTTTAATGGGGCTAGTACAAAATACCGCATTTGTTATATTTTGTAGTTCTTTTGCGTTGCTTTTTAGTAGGACGGTATCATCAGCCTACCTGATGTTGTCTATGCTGGTTCCGTTAATCTTGATTCGACCTTGAACTTCGTCTAATGCTTTTCTGAATATATATTCTGAATACCGATTAAATAATAGTGGTGATAGGACGCAACCTTGTCGCACTCCTCGTCGGATTCGTATATCTTTGGATGTTGTGTGCTCTATTTCTATTGTTGCCGTTTGGTGCCAATATAGTTCTGAGATAATTCGCCTTGTTCGTCAATTCCAGTTCTCAGAATTTCGATCATCTTTTGATGGTTACGCAGTCAAATGCTTTTCGATAATCAATAAAACATGCATATACATCTACATTCATGTCTCTGCATCGTTGTGTTAACGCATTTAAGGCAAAAAGAGCTTCTCGTCTTCCCAATCCATTTCGAAATCCGAATTGAGTGTCACTCATCTGAAATTCACTTCTTGGAAATTCGTGTATGAATGATTCTGAGAAAAGTTTTAAAGATATAATAGATATATCATGCTTAATATTCATTTTTGGTAATGTTATGAATGTTGATTTTACCCAGTCTGATGGTATTTTACCTGCGTTATATATCGTATTGAATAGTCTGTTATTAAGTTACTTACTACTAGACTTATGTTATCTAAAGTTTCACGCCTGTTTAAGTAAGGTTGAATTTACAATTTTTTTTCTTTAATTTTTTTTAACACTACATAAACCGCTTCGACGAGTATGATTTTGTCATCCATTGTTACCCGATTGTATTGCTCGTTTACGAACAAATGTAGGTTGCTGCCTTTGGTGCCATATACTGTTGCTGCCAATTTTTCTTTTTCTTTTATTACTTATTTCTTATATCCCCTTCTATGATTTCGCCTTTTTTATATTTTTCCTAGTTTTATAGATATTCAATAAATATTTATTTTCTTTATTCATTTCTTGTAACTATTTTTTATATCTACATTTTTATTTTTTGGTATTTTCTCTCTTCTTTGTCAGGTTTGCTCCCATTTTTCCTCTTTTTGTCTTAATCCCTTTTTATTTTCTCGTGAGAAATGATCTAATCATTCATGCGTCATCTTTTTAGAGTACTGTAACAGTGGAAAGATGTATCAGAGAATGGAAAGCAGTATTAAAAGCCCTACCTTTGTACAGCGAGATGGTGGCGGGCTATTCATCGAAGGCCTTAAAAGAATATAAAGAAACCTGTGATATGGCATATAGAAGAATAGTGCAGCCTCAGTCTGAAGATAGCAGAAAGATTTGTAGTGCAGCGTGGCTCAAGGATGATGATATTAGTCGATTTTTGAAGTGAGTTAAACGCATTTTTTATGTAACTTCTAGATAAAATCAGGAATCTTATAGTATTCGCATGTTTAACTCTGTCGAATTCCTTTATGAGATCCGTAATGCTCATATCAGAACTTTTGATAAATTTAACTATATCTTCTTAAACATTTATAAACGCTTTAGTTAATTTTTATTTTAGATCCTTACCCAACTGGCTAAATCTAAAAGCTCAGCAAGAATACCGTGCTCGCGGAGAAAGAAACAAAAAACTATTAAAGAGAGAGCACCCTTCGGAAGAAGAAAGCCCCGAAGATGTTCGAATGAGGAACAGACGAGAAGCTGAAATGTTGGCCAGTAATTTGGGAGAGGGAGGAGTTTCAGCAGGGGAGTTTCTTTCGGATATGAATTTGTTGAAAGAACTAGCTCAGCTACAGGAGAGTATGGTAAGTGTTTCCAACATTTAAGCCCGTAGATAATTTTAATGATTGTGATTTGAACATGAATGGTATAGTCCGTTGCAAACAGTCTAAAAAACTCAAAACTCAATATCTCCGTAAATCGGTTACAAATACGATGATCAAAGGTCGTTAACTGACAATTTCTTATTTCTAAGATAATGGTGTTTTTGTTGGGTTGATTTTAAATTTCTATTATGAATGGTTGGGAATTATAATAATAATTATTCCAGCAAGTTTTGATTTTCATTTTTTTTTCTGCTACTATCTGCATTATACTTTATTTGAGCGCATCCTACTTGTTCCGGCTAATATACCACTTCGCTTCATCTACAACACAAGACGATTTTCTAGCATATCTTGCAACGCATTATACTTAAGATAATCGGGATGTTTTTGATTTTTTGCATTAAATATGTAATTTCCATATCAGGAATGGTTTTCTGTCCGAATGTTCCAATACACCAGTGAGTTTAGACAAGAACCTTCGGGTCTTTCGCCACCCCAACAGGACAATAATCACTTGGACCGCCCATCGCCTGTTTCAGCTTCCATTTTGCAACAGTTGACAAGTATAGCTCAGGAATTCGACGAGCTAGCCAACACGTGCCTTTTGCTGCTCCATTTAGAGGTCCGGGTGCAATGTTTTTATTATTTATTAGCACAAACTCATTACAACAAAGAAACCCATGAGCCGGATCCGAAGGTTTTGGAGTTAAGTAGGGTTTTGGCCAATGTAGACGAAGCTATGGCTAATAGTCTACATCCCAGAAAGTGCAAGGTACGTATTTTTATAATAACACAAACAAATGAGACCTAATAGGTATTTACAGCAATTTTATTATGAGCATATATTATCACAATCTGAACATCGTGAAAATTTTCCTATTTATCTAGCTATTTCATTTCATTCATCTTATATTTTCCTTATTTATGTTGCGGCTTACCTCAGAAGTATATTATAACTACATTTTTTCATTATAACTATATTAGTTAATTGAATTTCATTTTTAGTACATTTTCGAAGGTCTGGGACATCTGATAGCAAAAATACTCATTAGTTCTGCGCAGTATATGAATGTCATAGATGAAGCTGGTATCCAAAGGATGTGCCGAAACATTTTTACTTTGCAACAGACGCTTACTAACATAACGATGACTAGAGAAGTAGCACTAGACCATGCAAGACATTATTTTGAGCTGTTCTTTTTGACACCAGAGGTAAGTTGAACATTTATTATATAATTATAATCTATACAGAGAGAAAAAAGTAATTAAGGTAGCAGTAGATGACTGAATACGGTTTGAAATCGGCCTAGCTTCTTTCTTGACACTTCTTCCTCATTTTTACCGGATTTGATTTTCCGATTTAACGTAGCAACAGGAATTCCGATTGCCTAGCAGCTTGATTTTGGCTAAGGATGCCAGTTCGCACAGACCTTATTGCAGATTTCATTGACTCCACAGACCATTGTTGTTGGGTCGTTTTTCGTTTATAATTTCGCATTTTACACCTGGAAAGACAGATATTCTTTATTTAATGGTGGTAATCAAGTATAATTACATGTGGGGCAAAGTGAAACGATATTTCAGTTAACATTTCACATTGCCCCAAATGGATTTAAAAGCAATACTGGTCCAGTAAAAATTATTAACCCTAACCTAACAATCTATATTTTGTATAATAGATGGTTAACTATAATTGTTTTTGTGTGTTAGTTTCAAAAATATGTTTAGTTAAACGAGATAGTAGAGTAAAACGAGAAGATTTAGCAATTACACTCACCTGCAGATATTACAAATTGTCGCCCAAAAATGTATAAACAGTGATATTTTCAATAACACCGACAGACGACTGCCACAATTGCCACAAAATGGTCGATAAGCACGTACTACTTCTAAACATTGACTGGATTGTAAACAATGGCGGCTCCGTTCGCGGAAGAATTTGAAAACGTGCTATTTCACTTTACCCCACCATTTCACCATACCCTTCCCTCCCCTTCATCATATATTTATATAATTAATACTTTTTGTATTAACTTGTTTTTAGGAAATTCTCAACGGCATTGTAGATAAGGGACCTGAATTTTCTGAATTAGAGTACATGAACGCCTTTCAGTTATTAAATCGAAGCAACAAAGAACTGGGGTCAGTATCTGTCCATCTGGAAAGACTATCAGATATCTTAGGAGAAGTTGGAGTGACAGTTTGATAGCAAGCTACATTCGTACTAGACGTTTATATATTTATTTAATTTTTATTTATAATTTTGAAATAATATATAACATGTTAAGTTGTTCTCAAAAGTTTCTATTAAAGTAATTATTTATATACATGTTGTGTTTTGTTAAACCACTAGATGATTATATATCCATCCATCCTGCTTCCATTTTGTATCCTGCTTTATGAGTTGAATATGTTTTTCAATCAAACTTTGTTTGATGTATAAGATCATCAGGTTTAGGTTTAGGAGAAAAAGGGAGCTATCGCAAATAGAAAAGCAAGATGAAATGAACTTGGCACGTCCCTTTATCTGATTTCTTTGTTGTTTGAGGCAAACAATTTTAAGGTATTTGTGAGAATAGTCTGAGAATCTCTCCTGTCGTTATCCCATTATCCATGTCGAACAGAATAAATAACAATGAGAATGCCCATTCTCAGATGCCGCCTTTGAAGATTGTCAGCACGCGAACGCCATGTTTTAGACGGAAACATAAACTCGAATTTAGAAATTTGTGACAAGCTACGACTGAACTATAATTTAAATTTTTAGAAATTAATAATTTATAATCTATTCTTCAACTAAAAATACGAATAAAATAGTGCATATTATGTCTGTAGTTGCCAAAAATGTCACTGAACATCACTGGTTTCGACTAAAACATGGCCGATTCCGTCTGCGCGTACTTATTTTTTCAAGCAGAGTGGACATTCTGATTGTTTATTATTCTGTGCCATTAGTAAGGATCGTGATTTCCCCTTATCGCACAATATCCAACTGCGGCATCACTCCATTCATAACCTAGTTTATCAAACTCACATTTTTACATACGTTTAAAATTAGGAGAATATATTGATAATAGGTTGCCAGATAAAAAAATTTTAATTCAAATAATAGTAATTAGTTTTTGACAAATATTTTATTTCGTTCATTTATTTTTTAACTAAAATACGCTGCTCATATGCGCGTATATGCATGTTTTTTATATCAAATGAAATCTAATTTTTTTGTTAATATGAGGATATAAGGATGCCTGAGAAAAAAATGGTCGAAAATTAGGGTTATCAGCTGATAAAAACGAGAGGTATCAAAGATAAAGCAGAATAGAGTTAGAGCGCAACGACATTGGTTTGACAAGTAGTAATATGTAGAATATTGCATATCTATGTAATTATTAGAAAAAAAAGGCGGTACCATGTGGAGCCACTAGGCCATAAACGAAAAAGTTATTTAGTGTGAAATGGAATGAAACAATTTTAGTAGATATTGAGTAGAGATTTTTTCAGATTGACATAAACCTACTTTACATGTAGTACAGTGCCATCTTGTACGATGAGGAGTTGCCTTAATACTGCAGTATGTACAACGTATTTTGGCTTCATGTTGATACATATGGGCTGCTTTGTCAATTCTTATTTTTAGAGGAACTTGTTTTTTGAACCTGTTACTGATGCATGGTTTGTCCATGGTTCTTCTTTCATATTTTGGCATTGGGGGTCTGCTCTAATCAAACCGGTGGCCACAGCAATTTTAAATTCTTTCAACGACATTCCCGTACCAGTTGTTGATTTTTTGAAAATTATATATGAGTTTAGTAATGTTAGGTCAATAAAATGGAAAAAAAATCTATACCACAACTATTTGGATTTTCTATCCAATTCGTAGCAAGATACTAACATATCAGACCTATCTACGAAGCCCATATATTTGTTGTAATCTTCTACTAATTGTTTGAAATTAATTTCTATTTATGACCAATCCTTTTCTTTCCTCTTCACAGTGACATTTTTTTCAGGTTTGTGAAAATTACTTAGAAAATGAATGGGTTTTTTTATCCATCCATTGCAAAGCTAGCACGCCATCTTCACTTATTCTCCAGTTTGAGTCACCCCTTTTCATTTTTTTTTATTTGTTTTAAGTTCATTTGGATCTTTTAAAATACTATCATCTGTCGGATCTGTTCGTTGGTATCTGTCAGTTCATCCAAATTTGGTGGAAGAACACCTCTTTGTGCCCAAAGTCCTTGTTCAAGGTTGGTATGGCAAAATGTTTTTTAATCTGTAACTACACCTCTTCAGAAACTCATGGTGTACTACGTGTGTACTACTAAGCACTATAATATAATCAAAACTGGTTGTATGTAATGTCAACTGAAACCAGTTACTGACAACACTATTTATCTTGATAAGAGAAGACGTGACAAATAGCCCGAAACATTTTAAAAGTCAACAGAATCTTTATTTTTATATAGGTGTTCTCAACTGAGTACGGTCGGCGTTATTGGGTTAAGTTAGGTATGGCATTGATGTGTTAATTTTCGACTCCGTTTGGTATAACCAAATTCTATCTATCTAATTAGCCTTCTTCGGTCAATCTTTGGACATAGGCCTCCCCAATCCTTTTCCATTCTTCTCTGTCTGTCGCTACAGTCATCCACCTAGAGCCCACGTGCTTCTTGATATCATCTGCCCATCTCATTTGGGGCCTTCCTCTGCTTCGTTTATATTCCCACCGTCTCCAACTTATAAGAATTTTGTTCCATCGGTCTTTTTTTTGGTATTATATTGTGTCCGGCAAATCTCCATTTTAATTTTGCAACTTCTTGTCTAACATCCCTCACTTTTGTCTTCTCTCTTATCCTCTCGTTTCTCTTTTTATCCATTAGTCTTATGTGCAACATTTGTCTTTCCATTGCCCTTTGGGTTTTTATGATTTTGTCCATGTTTGCTTTTGTAATGTCCACATTTGGGAACAATAAGTAAGAACAGGAAATACGCATTGATTGTATACTTTGGTCTTAAGATGCTGTGGATATCTTTTGTTTTTAAGAATGTAGCTTAGTTTGCCAAATGCTGCCCATGCCAGTCTAACTCGTCTTTTTATCTCTGCCGTTTGGTTTTTTTTGTTAAGTTTTATAGTTTGTTGACCCAGATATATATATATATATATATATATATATATATATATATATATATATATATATATATATATATATATATATATATATATATATATATATAATCCTGAACTTGTTTTATTTCATCTTGTCCGATTCTCATTGTAATGTCTTCATCTGTATTTGTTATGGTTTTGGTCTTGCTGTAATTCATATTAAGACCTATCTTTCTAACTTCTACGTCCAGTTCTTTCATCATTTCAAATAATTCTTCTTTTTTATCGGTTATCAATACGATGTCATCAGCGTACCTTAGATGGTTCAAGCATTGTTCACAATTTTTTACACCTTTTTCTTCCCATTCTAATCTTTTAAAAGTATCTTCCAGAGCTTTATTGAAAAGTTTCGGTGATATTGTGTCACCCTGTCTTACGCCTCTATTTATTTGTATTGATTTTGTTCCTTCATATACTTTAATTGTTGTTTTGGTTTCCTTATATATTATTGTGATATTTAAAAACTTAGTGCGCCAAGCAATTAATTAGCTAATTAATTAATTAAAATTATTTAAATAATATGATTATGACTCTATCACACTTTTTAATTCTCTTATCTCAGGGTTAAATTCGTGCTTCAATATCTATGCTATTACATGTGAAAGGTAAGGTCCAAAGAATACCGGAATAATAAAAAAAACATATAGGATCTAACGTTATATATTGAAATAAAATAATGAAATAAAATTCACACTCAAATGTTTTCAATAAACAAAATCTCATATAATGATTCTCAAAATTTTGTTCTAGGTACGTGAACCTTCAAAATTAATGGTACAAACAATATTAGTTGAAATCTCAAAATCCAAATATTATTCTAAATCTCCTAATCAAAATATTTATATCCTTTTTAATTAAGTGTAAAAAATTGTGTTATCAATAAAAGAAAAACTGCAGACAACAAACTATCTCTCTCTGATGATGAGTGGTCCAAATCCTTGTTCCTTGTAGACTATACTATTTACTCGTAACCGCTCCCTAGGTAATCAGCAATCTTACAACAAATTATTGCAAGTTTATCATCCTTAATGATCTCCTTCAAATGCACGAATCGTTCAAATTATGCTAGCTTCTTCTTCTCTCAATAAACTGAATCTCTCGTTGGCCTGAGTGAAAGCTGACTCTTGGAATATCTTTTCTTTACGATAAACTGAATCTCTCGTTGGCCTGAACAGTGACTCTTGGAATATAAGTAGAAAATATAACTTACAATCTTTTACTGGATCAGCTTCTGTCAGATACACTAACTACACGAAAACTCACAAACTTTCACTGCTACTGCTTCCTACCTCTGGGAAACTACCCGAGAACAACGGCCGTTCGCCTTCTACCCTTGGAAACCAACTGACTATCTTTTCTTTCTTCCGAAACTAACTAACGTCTCATTCTCAAACCAATCATCCCACCTTTTCCAATTTCATCCAATCAAAACGCGTCATCTATCTCCCATTTCTTCATTTCGATAACAAACAAATTTTTACCTATAATTATAAAATTTCCTAAAACTTATTTACAAATAATATTTTTCTACAATTCTTAAAAACTAACTAAAACCTATCTTTCTAAAATCTATTCTATTGTCCTAATCACTGCACTAATGTATTTGGAAAACCCGGTTCAATTGTCTTTTATTTCACTTAAGCTTGTTCACGTCATACAAATATATTTTAACAAAGAAAATAATTTATGCAAATCTTACGTTTTGTTAAATACAGGTAATCCAAAATTAAAAGACTTTCATTCTTCGAAATGTTTGTAGTTAATTGTTTGACTTATCTGAATTATTTTAATGTTTTGAACTTTGAAATATTTTTAAACAAACCGATATTTTCTTGATTTTACATATCATAACATTATATTGGCTATTAGTTCCGTACATCTGTGGTCAATTTTGCTGTTAATCAAAGAACTTTTCACTGCCCAATGTTCGACACTGTCAAAAGCCTTTTCGAAATCTATGAACGCCATATGTAGAGGATTCATGGAATGTGGTATTCATTTGCTCGTTGTATAAGAATTTTCATACTTAGTAAATGGTCACTTGTGCTGAATCCCTTTCTAAAACCAGCTTGTTCTTTCGACTGGTATCCGTCGAATTTTGTCGTGAATCTATTGGTTAAAATTTT